CGACCGTCTTCCTACCGCGCGTTGGCGCGAGCCGGTGCGTCCGGAACTGCAAAAACACGGGCCGTGGGAAGCCACCCTAATACGGCCACTGAAAAGCTCGAACTGCAATCAATAGACACGTGACTAAAACGCACAAGTGAAAAATCCTTTCTTTCTTCCTTCCTGCATGCGCTTTATAACCCGTTCCATGAACATCGTTTTTAATTTTTCTTTCTGGACGCACATAATGATGACACCGATCTGCGACGTGACCACGATTATATTATAGAATTGAAACATTGAATAATTTTTTTTAATATTCCTGACATTATTGCTTGCTACTAAAAAAAATGATTCGAAATACGAAGCTTTTGTCACTTTGAAAATGAGGCTTTGAACTAAGCGGCCATAATAGAAGAACAAATCTGTACTGCCAGTTGTCAATTAATATAATGACTGAAAGACATTTTCTAACAGAACAATAACGAATTAATAATGGCCAGTTTGAGAAGAAATGCCCACAAAATTTTAATCAAATCCGAATAGAGAATTACAAGAAGTAGAAATTCAACTCACACTCCCGTTCATTTTTCTAAATTTGCCTATACGTAAAATAAAAATTAACGTTTTTAGAGATAAAATAACCAGAAACGTATTTTTTTATATTACGGTCGCCTATTCCGAAGAATAAAAGCTTAAAACATTTATTTTTGTTGCAAACAAGGACTCGAGTATAACATCAGCTATATTGCTGGAAATAATTTAAAATGATTTACCCATCTTTTTCAATTGCTTAACCATTTGTTTTAAAAAAATTATATTGAAACCATTAAATTTGACGTAAAAAGGTCCTTGGAAATTTTTCCGTAGAAAGATTTTTTTTAATTTTCGAAATCTTTTCTAATTGTGAAACGGTAATAGATAGAAGCAATAGATAAATATTTTGGAAAGTCGAGTTTGCGATTTTCTTCCAGCTATTATAATTTGCGATGGTGATATAAATGCAAACCTATTACGTTTAACAGATCGCTTAATAAGAGACTTATGATTATGTTGTTTCTCTTAACCTACTTCAAATTATTACCCACGCCAATACATTTACAAACATTACAAACCTCCACCTTACTAGATATGATTCCTATACTCAAGAGAACAAAACAATTTTCATTGCGGAACTCTAGACATCTCACACATATCTGATTACTCCTTAGCTTATTGCGCAAAGTCATATTAAACGGTAAATATAAGAATTTTAAGAATCTTGATAAAGGCTTAATATCTTATCGATATTGTCACCCTTAAATTCTTCCTTGAACAAACAGCTCTTGGATTATTGTCAAATTAATTGTACACCACATTTTGAAGTGCACTTTGAATTTTTCAAAATTGATGGATGAATGGAATATTTGAAAAATTTTATTATAAATAAAGACTGTTGCGTCAGGAGAAGATGAATTAAACATTAATAAGGTCCTTTTAAGCTGCCCTAGAATTCTTCCCTTTCTGAGAAGTAACTCCACTCCGTAAAAAGTCCTAAATTTCAAATTTTGAAAAATTGAAACCGATTAGTATACTACCATTATTATCAAAAGTCATTGAAAAAATAATGAATTATCAGGTTAGAGCGAATCTTCAAAAATATAATATACTTCTTTTAAATCAAGACAAGGGTTTGGTTGTGCCACCGCATTAGTAAATATCACAGACGACATAATTAGACCGGCCAATAAAGGAAAAGCACCTTCCCTAATACTTATTCATTATTTTAAAGGGTTCGATAGATTAAACGAGTTGTTACTAGGAATTTTACATTTTATTGATTTTTCACACCTTTGCGAAGAAGATGAACAACCGTACCTTTCATTTCTTCCGTCAACTCACAATAAGGCACAAATATTAAAAAATGAAGATGAAGAAACATTAATACAATGTTCAAATGATCATAATTTAGCAATTATTGCAAAAAAGTCTTCTTTGGTAAACAGTCTAACTCAAACAGATATTTGTTACTAAAGTCAAGGTTGACTGATTCGTTGGTCTTAAGTCACTTTAATTTTTGTGGTACTGTATATGGCCCATGTTCCATTTCATTTATTTATGGTATTCGTACTAATAAGGACTCAGTATCAGGTAAACTTAAAGAAACAAAGTGGCTAACAATTACATTCACTTATTGTGTTTCATAATATAATATTGAACAAATGTCCTCGGTAAGTGTCGAGAGACTGAGATACTTACATAATTATTGACTCTGATACTAAGTCAAAATGGTGGCATAACTTAACTGTTTAATTATGACAAACCAGCATATAACATATCAGAAGTACATAAAAAAAACTCACCAAAAATAATAAGGGCAGAATTGGAGTTTTCCATAAAAATTGTTAAATACGGCAGAGCGGTGGAACCGGATGAAAAAATCCAGACTACAAACTTGTAAGTCTCATGAGTCATGCACTGCAATGAACGAATGAATCCACTAGAATATATAACAGCTGTGAGCCTGAAACATCAAATACATAGTTTATGTTCCGCAAGGGAATGAGGACAAGAGAGGCCATTAAAAATTGTTAGACGCTCTTCAAAAAAATCAACAATGATGACCACGATATTCTGATATAGTCTCTATACTAATATAGTGTCTGCTAGAGTGAAATGCCTTGGCAGTGCCAATGGTGTGACCCTCCGTTTTTCCGATGTTGCTGTATGTCTTGAGATTTGGACACTAAACAAGTAAATATCAAGAAGAATGGAAGAGTTTGAGTATACAGACGCATGTTCTGTATGTTGCAGCAGAATAGACAAAGCAAAATAATTTACCATTAAAAGGAGAAACATGAAATCACTTGGTCATATCATGCTTCATGCAAAATATGATATTCTACAGAGATATATATCTGGATAGGTTATTTGCGTGGAAGATTTGGCCTCTCATCAGTCAAGCTATTTCGCAGGGCTGTCGCCATGAAAATCAGCAACCCCCGCGGGAGTCGCTGAATTCATTTTGATATCATTTTAGTTTGATTTTCTACAGTTTATGTTCTACAACCAAATTTAGAACGCCATCCCAGTCGGTCCTTAAATTCAGGCCCTGGTTAATACCGTTTTTATATTTACTACGGAATATACTTTCTCTTTATGTTAGTTTTCTTTATAATGCTACCAATAGTGTGTGTGGTGAATTTTTTGGAATTATTAAAAGAAATTATGTTATCTAAGATTCTCTATTGAAAATTTTTTACCTCATAATGCTGAAAACGACTGAAATACTTTACATAAATATTAAACTACACATCTTTCAAGAAAGCGGCCTTTTCGAGAGGTCGTCCGGTGGGACATTTTTCCTACAAAATTTCGCGTAAAGACCATAAGAAACTGATTCGCATGCAAGACCCCTTTGCGACGCAGATTGGCATTAAACCACTCGATTTGATGGTGTGGAAAGACGGGATAGCCGAACAATCCGGGTCCAATTCTCGACAACACTCCGGTGTATCATGAACGTTACAAACGCGCTCTTTACATATGAAACGAACGACTAAATTTGTAATTTGTAATTTATGAATTTTAATATCGCTAGAAATATCTGAGCGATCGATGTGTAAAAATGTTCATAAGAACAACTGGCAGCTGACAAATGCAATTTTTAATGGTCGATTCTTATTATGCTTAAAGGTTGCAAAGAAGCACGGTTTTCTGAAAGTCAAATAGAGCAATTTTCTTTTTCTGATTAACATATATCTGTTTCTCAGGAGGACTATAACCAGACATACACACACATGGTTTCAGGTTTAACGGGACATTTTGGCCGACCATTCGCCGAGTTCCGAGAATTGGGGTTTCCTTTATGGAAATCACCTCTCCTGATAGTTTGCTTTGTGAAATATATCCACAAATAAAACAATATTTATCAAACTTAGGGCCTCAGAACTTCATTTTCGCTAGAAAAACTGACAACAAAATACAATTGTCGCACATAAAATTTGGTATTGTTTTAGAAAATATTATTGGGAAACAACTAAATTTAAGCGTATCCATTTTGAAAGTTGAAATGTATTAGCGAAGCAAAATTCAGGTCAATAACAAAAATGCAGATTTCAATTTTAAACAATTTAAACAACTTTTTTTAAGTAAGAAAACTTTTTTTTTCTGTCTTAAAAAAAAGTTTTTTAATTGTCCTGGTTATGATGACGCAATTATTCTCTATCATTCTTGATTGAAACTAACAAAGTAGCAAAATCAACAAAAGAAGAAACAACCACCAATCTTCCCAAGAAATCCCTAACTAAAACAACAGAAGCAGTTTCTACATCTACATTGAAGCAACTTCCCGTGAAATAACATTGGAAGCAATTTCTCAAAAATCAGCATACCACGACATAAAACCAAAATTTGCGCCCTTCAGCCTAAGGTACTCGGAATAATCTTTAATGGAACGATACAGGTGAGTTTATTAAAGATTATTATGTTAAATATATTTTTGTAACTAAAAAAATACTAATCCCATCATAGTTATGTATTACGTTATTGTAAATGTACAAGAACTTCAACCGTTATCCAACAAACGGAAATAGCTACTATAACTAGAACTGTCTCTACGTTAAAAGCAATCTAGACCAGGTTTGTCCACAGCAAGTAGAACAAACATTATTATGTACCCGAGTTTTACAATCGTTCGAAACTTTCGTTAAGACCTGAATGATCTTTTAACGAAAACTCTAAAAGGATGTGGATTTTAAGAAATAGTAATAATATTTTGTGAAATGTGTGTGCTTTAGTTAGCATAGTATGTTATAGCGGTTAATTTTCACCCTCTATTATAAATGGTTCATTAAAAGGATTCTTAAAGACCTTCAGCTGATACATAAAATAAAAAGAAGTAAACATGCGACCTGCATATTAAACACAATGAAGCAAACCTAATGTGTGGGAAAATAGTGCAAAGGAGTCACCGAAATCGCAAAAAATAAAACTAGCGGTAATAAAGGTTTCATATTATTAATATTTATTCTTGCTGCTACTTATTGGACGAAAGTAAGTCGCTGGTTGTTCTTAGCCAGCATTGCGGGTGTATTACCGCTTATGTCTTTACAGTTGACATTAGCTTTATGTTCTTTTAATATTTTAACAATATCAAAATGTTGTTTTTCACATGCATAGTGAAGGGCGCTTCTCCATCGGCGACAATAGTGGTGGATATTTGCATGCTCATTTAACAAACACTCTACGATATCCAAGTGACCCTTTAGAGAAGCAACAATCAATGGCGTCTGGCCTGAATCATTTGGGGATTCCTTGTCGGCACCTTGATCAATTAAAAGTTTTACAATTTTCTTGTTTCCATTGAAACAGGCGCAGTGCAGAGCGGTTCTCCTTTGGCGACAATAGTGGTGGATATTTGCATGCTCATTTAACAAACACTCTACGACGTCCGGGTGACCCTTTAGAGAAGCAACAATTAATGGCGTCTGGCGAGAAACATTTCGGGATTCCTTGTCGGCACCGCGATCAATTAAAAATTTGACAACCTTCATGTTTCCATCGAAACAGGCGCAGTGCAGGGCGGTACCCAATTTTGGGTTACGACGTTCAAGTTCTTTTGCATCAAGCGCACTTTCAGGTACCTTCATATTAACATCAGCGCCACGTTCCAATAAATAGCATAGTATTTCCAAATGTCCTCTGGAAGCGTGAATCGTCAGAGGTATTTCGCCGAAATTATTCCCTTCATTTATGTCTAATCCGTACCCAACCAACAATTTGATGGTCTCTAAATCACCCTGGTAACCGGCTAAATGCAAAGCAGTTCTTCCATACCTGTCCTTGTGGAAAACATTGGCATTTTTAGATTTCAGGAACTGCAATACTGCAACTTGACTGTTTCTTGCAGCTTGTAAAAATGGGGTAGCATTTTCGTTACACATGGGATCAACGTCGATATGTTCATATTTTGAGAATATCATCGCAGGGCGGCGTAAAAATCTTCAAAGTTACTAATGCCAAGTGATCTTTGCATTGCGGCAAAATGGGAGCAACTCATTGTCCTAAAAAGTACTTGGGATTATATCCGATAGTTATAGGGAAACATTTTACAGAAACAATCAGAAAATTGCAGCGGATAGAAAAATGGAACAATATTCGATCGATACAAGCGGCAACACTGTGATACTGAATATATGTTTGATCGACATAAGAAAGCCAAAATTTCGGAAAATTGTTACTATTTAGTTTCCCACAAGGTCTGATGTTCCACCTTCGACCAACCGTGAGAAACATAAAGAGGCATAAAAGAAATACGTAAAAACAATAGAGGAGAAGAAAAACAAATAACTAATGACTCACAGGCCAGAAAACCGAACCGACAATCATATATTATTTGAATGTAAGTACTAAAAATGTCTCTTTTTTTATTATAAAATTTCTGATTTTTGACACATCTTCGATTTTTTTTTAACTGCTACGATTTGGCTGACAATTTTGTGTAAATAAAAATTGAAAACTAAACATTTCAAAATGAATACACCATAATTGGTGGCTAATGAAAACTCGCACTTACATTAAGAAATATATGCAACAAGCCAAATTAGTAAAGAGGTGACCGATGTTTTTACATTTATACGATTCATTTGCCTGAATAAGTTTATAAACGTGTTTTTTGCTTTACGTTTTTTGTAATATTTTTGAAAACCAGTGACGTGTAACTTGACTATCAAAACTAACCAATGTCAAAATATCATTAGTGTTCAAAATCTATCCAAAACGATTGCTCCCAAACTCGCAACTAAGAGATCGGAAACGTCCGAAGCCGCTCGCGGCAGTGGACAACGAAGAGGACATTTCAATATTTTAGATTAGGGAAGGAACGCAATTTATTTATATTATCAGTAGTTAAAACTTTTTCGACTTTTCTGAAAGACCCTTAACATAGGAAATTTTAATGTAAATTTTTTGATTATCTTATTTTGATTCCAAAAAAGTATTATATAAGTATTCTTTAAAGGCAAAAAAAATACCTACTTTTTCTTATAGTGTTTTGAATTGATGTTGTTAAGGCTCTGTTCTTCTTCTTTTGAATTCAGTGTACATTAGAAATTAGAAATTTAGAAAAAGTGTGTCCTTAAATCTATTCTATCGTAATCAACTTGCCTTCGCTTCTTCCAAATAGAACCCCAATAGAAAAAGTTCAATCTTGAGAAGTAAGTTGTTGAAAATATCTTTCTCGGTTTGAATGTGATCCTCCGGTATACATGTAAGTATATACTTTATATAAATTTTAGAAAATGTAGATTGGAACGGTGCTTAAGCACTGCATTAGTTTCCATTCCAAGCCCATACATTTCATAATGAAATATGTTGTCAAAATTGTAAAAAATATTAATAAATATGAACTATGAGTCCTATTAAAAAAAGTACTGTGATAAGCGAGCAGTCTGGCCCTGCCTGTGTTCCGAGAATCGCTGCGGGATCATAGAGGTCGTCTAAGACGGTTGGAATATTCGACCACAACCGCGAGCAAGAGCTGCGTTCTACAAAATTCGCGAAATGGGCAGTCACTTAGAAAAGTTAAACCAGAGCACGCAAACTTATATAATCGTCTGATAAAAGCCTTATATAAATCATTAGAAGGGTTAATGTTGTTGGTGGAATAACTGGTCCGATATGTTGTAATCATAAGAAGATATAAATGGCTATTATTTTATCTTCTGGATGTTGTGGCACAACACAACAAAAATAAAGTTAAGTTCGCATAATCCAAAAATTATTGATATATAAATAAAAATAAAATTTAATGACGGGTGTTATTTTTCAAAGCAAATTGTTTAAATTGGTGCTGGATTTCTTATTATTATTGCATTAGATTATGTAGTACAGATTACTACTAACGGAGATTGGACGAGCAACTAGAAAAATATTGGTTCAGACGTCCGAATGAAACGATAAAGACCAAAGTGGGAAAGCAAGTAAGTTGTAGTCATGACTATTCCTTGTCAGACTAAAATTAATACTATAATTATTACACTGGGTAACAAATGTAACAATTTTTTTGCACTCCCTTCCCTGAAATACCGAATTATACACCAATCTAGTTTCGTTTGCTACGGCTGCGAGCCATTTCGGACATTTCCGGCTTTGGTAGCAGTCGGATATTTCCGGAGATAATCCGCACGGCTTGAATTTGACAATTGTCAATTATGACGGTATTGTCAGTGTTGTTTTGCAAAAATGAATCCCAAAACTAATAGTCGCAGAAAAAGTATAGTATGCAACACGTTTGATAAACTTTTTAAGTCACTCCTGCGCTCCACTCGTATCAAATAAACTCATAGATCACACTCGTTGCATAAGATATTATCGACAAACAATCGTTCTTCGCAGAAGCAACTACCTGAAGCAGCTTATCATTAACTTAACGTTTTCAGATGTACAACAAAATTTCATACTTATATAGGTGGTGATAAGTATTTATAATCTATTGCTTATTGAAAAAAATATAACTATAATTTTTGCATCGATATAACGATAACATATCGCTGCAATGACAGAACAGAGACGTAAGTGCGAAATTTTTGGAAATTGAGTTAAGTCCATCATTAATCCTCAAATATAAATATTTTGTTGAATATTATCTGATACTAATACAAATACAACGTTTTCAAAGTCACAATTAAGCATGCAAAGTTTTAGGGATAAACACCAAAATTTCATTTTCGTTGTTTGCTTCTCCTGAAAAATTATGCTTTTTGCAGTTCTTTCAATGTTCTTGAAGTCTTGAATGAACTAAATTAATTTAAATTTAAAACACCCCGTAGATATCGACGAGCAACCTAATACTTACTAACTAAATAAAACTAAAAAAAAAACTAAAAAAATGCATACGATTTCCAATGTATATTCGATAGTCAATTTAATCATTTAGGGGGGTAGGGGGCACAGGCTGGGGAGGTATATTCAATATTAGACAGAACTGTCATGTTATACTAGTTTTTCTTCCCATCCGAGCTAGAACTAAAATGCATATATATATATATATATATATATATATATATATATATATATATATATATATATATATATATATATATATATATATATATATATATATATATATATATATATATATATATATATATATATATATATATATATATATATATATATATATATATATATATATATATATATATATATATATATATATATATATATATATATATATATATATATATATATATATATTCTCACGTATTGATTCACGGATGGAAAAATGTGATGACACTATATTCCGGGATATCATCTGTTCGCTCGCTAGAACTAAAATGTATATATATATATATATATATATATATATATATATATATATATATATATATATATATATATATATATATATATATATATATATATATATATATATATATATATTCTCACGTATTGATTCACGGATGGAAAAATGTGATGACACTATATTCCGGGATATCATCTGTTCGCTCGTTGAACTCCGACTGGAATCCTGCATCCGACTGGAATCCTGCAAATCCTGCATCCGACTGGAATCCTGCAGACGTTTCGCCAAAATCTCACTTGGCATCTTCAATGCTTCAAGCAGTGTTCGAAGTGTTTTCGGAGCCCGAGCATTGAAGATGCCATAGTGAGATTTTGGGCGAAACGTCTGCAGGATTCTAGTCGGATGCAGGATTGCAGGATTCCAGTCGGATGCAGGATTCCAGTCGGATGCAGGATTCCAGTCGGAGTTCAACGAGCGAACGGATGATATCCCGGAGTATAGTGTCATCACATTTTTCCATCCGTGAATCAATACGTCAAAATATAATATATATATATATATATATATATATATATTATATATATATTATATATATATATATATATATATATATTATATATATATATATATATATATTATATATATAGTATATATATATATATGATTCTGATAACCCCCCTGGGGTTATCAGAACCCTGACAGAACGAGCCCGAAGGATTTGCGAACCGGAGAGCCTCCAGATGGAACTTGAACACCTAAAAACTGCGTTCGAGGGCAATGGCTACAGCAAGAGGGAGATCGAGAGATCAATGAACTCAAGATATATATTATATATAAATATATATATATATATATATATATATATAATATAGTATATATATATATATATATATATATATATATATATATATATATATATATATTATATATATACATATATATATATATATATATATATATATATATATATATATATATAAATATATATATATATATATATATATATATATATATATATATATATATATATATATATATATATATATATATATATATATATATATATATATATATATATATATATATATATATATATATATATATATATATATATATATATATATATATATATATATATATATATATATATATATATATATATATATATATATATATATATATATATATATATGTATATATATATATATATATATATGTATATATAAATATATATAAATATATATATATATATATATATATATATATATATATATATATATATATATATATATATATACTCACGTATTGATTCACGGATGGAAAAATGTGATGACACTATACTCCGGGATATCATCCGTTCGCTCGTTGAACTCCGACTGGAATCCTGCATCCGACTGGAATCCTACAGACGTTTCGCCAAAATCTCACTTGGCATCTTCAATGCTCGCGCTCCGAAAACACTTCGAACACATTGAAGATTGAAGATTGAAGATGCCAAGTGAGATTTTGGCGAAACGTCTGTAGGATTCCAGTCGGATGCAGGATTTGCAGGATTCCAATCGGATGCAGGATTCCAGTCGGAGTTCAACGAGCGAACGGATGATATCCCGGAATATAGTGTCATCATATATATATATATATATATATATATATATATATATATATATATATATATATATATATATATATATATATATATATATATATATATATATATATATGTATGTATGTATATATTGTTGTTTCCCGCTTACAGTTTGTGACTACTTTGTTTATAGATTTTTCGGAGTAACCGTTCTGAAGCAAATCCTTTTTAATATTATTCAATTCGGCATCGAGAGATGCTTGGTCGCTACATATTGTGATTGCTCTTTGCACAGTGTTTTAATTATTCCTAGTTTATTTGCTTCAGAATGGTTAGCCTCAAAATTTAGATACTGTCCTGTGTGGGTAGGTTTCCTATATACAGACGTGTTAATAGAACCATTATTTCTACTGACTAGGACATCTAGAAACGGTAGACAGCCGATCTTTTCTTTCTCAATAGTAAATTTAATTGATGTTCGCAAAGAATTAAGATGACTGAGAAAAGAGTCTAGCTGTCTAGAAGAACCCATCGGCAGGCTATCATCTTGTGCGTAAAACTTATCTTGGACTTGAAAGTAAGAATTATGCAGACCAGCACCTCAGAAGCTCCAACACTCCCTCAAGTGGTAGCGAAGTTGTTCAGCGGCGAATTATGTTCAAATTTACAATTGCAGTAATTATGGCTGGGCATCTTCTAGCCACGACATATATTTATCTTCCGTTTCGATTGTAAATGTTTCATAATAATTAAAGAGAATTATATCTTATCTACAATCGTATTTGTTATTGTTTGCTATGCATGTTTTCCCCGGAATTTTGATTAACTTAATCAATCGCAATATGATGCCACACCTTGAAGACACTTTAATATCACTGTCGCGTCACGAAAACTACCCGTTTCAGCAACACGTCGATTCGTTAAAATAAAAGGCAGTATTTTTACACACAACCCTTTAATTCAGTAAACTCACCAAATTAGTAAAAAAAACAAGTAACGTAAAAAAGTATGTACAGTAGCAAAGATACATAATTAGTAATAAGTAATAAATTCAACAAGCAAAGCCTCGAATTCGTAAAAAAGAACCCGTCGGAAAAAAATTAGCTTCCGATGTTTGCCGAATCCTTAACGATACTAAAGTCCTAAAATTCAGTTTTCTAAAAAGTAAAACACATCTATTTAACTCGGTCTTCGGTCATAAATTAATAGACAAGTGTTCGCCAGGCCGATCGTTACCATCAGTAAAGTCATAAACTTTGACTTTTGAACAGGATTGAGAAAAAACACGCGCATCTTAAACTGAAATTCCCCTTATTCTAAAAAATACCACAAAATTGTTCCCTATAAATATTTACTGGCTCATCCTCCCACCTGAGGCCTAGATTATTCTGTAATAAGGCCTCATAGAAATAGAGACAGTTCAGTAAAACATCTAGTCTATACAATAAGGGGATCAAAAGAGAAAATCCAAACAATGAAGAAAATACTCTCATACATAAATCTCGACGCTTAAACAAAGAACAAAAATCATTACAAATACATACATATAAAATCTCTTGGGAGATTTAATTTCGCGCCCACTTCGCGTTACCACTTTCTTAGCGGGTACTTTGCTTTCAATCACTCCCGAATTCGCGACACTTTTTTCCGCACTTTCACTTGCTGCTGCTGAAGGTACTGGATCGTTGTTGGTCTCGTCGTTTTGCTGAAGGTGTGTCGATCTGTCACTCGTCAGGTTGAAAATGGAAGGCTCTGAACACTCCAATGGATAAAGACGCTGTATGGGTAGTAAGTATTGGCCTTTACGTGAGATAACCTTGACCAGGCGAACCTTGTTATCTTTACCACGTATCACTTCAGCCACTCTCCCCATTGGCCAATTTATGCGTTTATCCTGATTATTCCCTATTAGAATGACTTCTCCCACCGCTTTCTGCCGACGTCCTTGACGCTTTTGCAATAGTTGAAGCTGTCCCAAGTATTCGCTGCGGAATCTTTTTTGCAGGTCTTCTCTTAACTTTTCTTAAGTTTTCCGGTCAGCGTCATCAAAATCAGGAACAGCACCCTCCGTCAGGTCTCTTAAAAACATCATCGGTATTAACGGAGTTAGATCGTCCGGATCATTCGATACGAAGGTAATAGGCCGTGAATTTATGATGGCTTCGCAATCGCAAATCACGGTAGTTAAGTCCTCGTATGAGAGAGAAGCGCCTCCCAGCACTTTTCTCAATAGTGGTTTTAGGATCCCGATCAGTCTTTCCCAAAACCCACCCCACCACGAACCAATTGGAGGATTAAACCGCCACTTAATGCGTTCGACGCCACTTTTTTCAACAATTTCAAGTTTGTCCCATTGTCACTATAGATCGTCTTCAGCTGTCCCTGTCTGACAATAAACCGTCTTAAGGCTTGCATAAAGCTCGCTACTGATAGAGACATGCACAATTCCAAATGTACCGCGCGATAGATTGCACAGGTAAAAATGCATATCCACACTTTTTCGCCGGTTTTAATGTATAGCGGGCCAGTCATATCTACGCCGCTGACTTCAAAGGGTGCAGGATCGCGAATACGGTCCAAGGGTAGAGGTGGGGCGTTTTCATTAAACGGTCTACTGTTGTGCCTCCTGCACACCGCGCACTTGGATATTATTGCTTTTATTGCGCGTCTACTACCCAAAACCTAAAACGTAAAAGTCCATTTTCGTCTTCAAAGACGTCGAGAGAAGACAGGTGTCTATCATTTACTTCTTCAAAACACTAGCGTTGTTCAGGTAAAATAAATTCTTCAGCAGTAATCGGCCCCTCAAGCTTGCTGTTCCTGTTTCTTATATTATACATAAAACGATGTATCCAGGCTTGCATCCTTATCGTTTTAGTATATTTTGAAAAATAATTAAAGTGCCAATCTTCGGATTCATTGTCACCGCCGGCGTTGCCTCTTTGTTAACTAATGACGTAATTAGTTTTTTCTTTCTTTCCTGGGATATCTCTGCTTCGATTAAATCAAAATTCTCTATAGGCCAGTGGGCAACATCTTCGTACAGCCATTCAAGTCCCTCCCACCATTTTGATTTGAGTAGCTTCCTAGCAGAACATCCACGAGACGGTAGATCAGCAGGATTAGATACGCCCGGAACATGATGCCAATCGTTAGCTGAAGTTGATTTTCGCATTTCTTCCACCCGATTCCAGACAAACGTAACCCACTCCTCTTCGTGCTGTATCCAAAATAGAGTTGTAGAAGAGTGAGTCCAAAAAAATTCTTCAGCGCTAATTTTTAAATTTTCTTTAACACTATTAAATAAACGGAGCCCAATAACAGCAGCCATCGAACTCAAGTCTGGATATCGATAATTTCTTTAATGGTGCTACTCTTGACTTGGCTGTCAGTAAGTGTACGAAAACCCGTCCATTGTGTCCAATGCCCCGAAGGAAAACTGCAGCAGAAAACGCGATTTTACTAGCGTCGCAGAACGTGTGTATACTCCACTGCTTGGCATCTTCAAATCCTGCACCCGTCCATCTTGGAATTTTTATAGCCATCGAAAAGCTCTTTGATCCACAATCGAAAATTATTTGCCATTTCCTCCTCTACCGGGGTATCCCAACCTATAGATTTTTCCCAAGTCCGTTGAAGTAAAATCTTAGGGTACAATGTCGCAGGACAGGTAAATCCTATAGGGTCAAATATTTTCTGAGTCAATGACAACATAAACCTTTTTGTCACCGGCCTACTAAGCAGTTCGTCGGGGTACTGCAGGTCAACTTTAACACCTAATGTGTCTTCGGTAGTGTCCCATGTCATACCAAGTACCGGGGTGCCTTTATAATTGTCTTCTAGTTGCACTTGGTCTGTGTACTCCCACCCTCTTAATTCGAAAGCGCCGTCAGCCATTATCAGAGACGCCTCTTCGATAAACTTTCTTAAACTCTTCAAATCTTCGAGACTCGTCACACAATTGTCGACATAAAAACCCTTTAATAATCGCTGGACGGTTTCTACGGAATAATTTCCAGTCTCTTTTAGTTTTTTGTTCAAATGGTATTCTAATGTAGCCCCTAATAAAAATTGACCACTGTTTATACTAAAGACGACTCTGCGGTGTCGAAAAATCTTCTGGCCTCCATCTTGATCGACCCATAAAAATCGGAGATAATTTCGATCGGCTTCATTCATGATAATTTGCAAAAAGGCTTTCTTGATGTCGGATATTACCCCAATTTTATTAGCCCTAAACCTCAGCAAAATATTGGGAAGTTCCTCTATGAGGTTTAAACCTTTTTCTAAGCACTGATTTAGCGAGGGTTTTTGCTTTTCTTTTGCGGAAGCGTGGAATACCGGCCTTATTTTTGTCGTGCTCGACTCCTTGATAACCGGCCGGTGTGGCAGGTAGTGGGCCTCAGTAGGGTTCGTGTCATAAACTTCTTCGATAATACCCTCTTCAAGCCATTCATTAAAAATTTGGTCATATGACTCGAATAGCCCATCTTGATACAACTTTCTCACGGTGTTGTCAAGTCACTTCTTTGCAATCTTGTAGTTACTTGGCAACTCTGGATGGTTTTCTAGTCACGGTAATCGAACCTCGTACCGCGAATCGCTGTTTATTGTCACTGTCTTTAAAAAGAAATCCTTTGCTGCCAGAGCACTCTCTTTTCGCGTTCTCTGCACTGCTGGATCCGTAATATCCAGAGTTTCCAATTCCCATAAATAAGCCAAGGACGAATCGCTGATAAAAAGGGATAAAGCTGTTATAATCCTTGCGTTACTCTCTTCTGGCGGAATTTTCCCCATCAAAGTCCAACCCAAAAGAGTTTCCATTGCGACCAAACCACAGGTCAATATAAATCTCCGGCCCGTATACAACCTACCTGCGACATCTGCGCCAATTAGTACCTCAATAGGTGACTCATCTGAGGTATCGGAGAGTTTTATACCGCGATGTTTTATTTCTCGCGACCACGTGCCCTTAAAAACAGGTGAAACCGCAGTGCAGATGATGTCTTGATCTAAAGCTTCGAAGGTGCAATTATAATTGTCATGTCTTAGGCAAATATCATAACAATTATGCTGTCGCAAAATTTGATTTCCCCCAAATAAACCATGCATCAAATTAATTTTTTCTTTGGAGACGTAACCTAAACTGCTGGCCGTGGATGCGAGGATATATGACTTTTGAGACCCTGTGTCTATCAAGGCACGCACAGTCTCTGAACCCCTTGAACCTTCTAATTTTATGCTTAATGTTTGCAAAAATACTTGCGTGTTGGTACTATTCGCTAAAGTCTGATTCGCGCTCGCTCTCAGAATATGGCTGTTGTCAGGAGTCTCCGAGGGAATCTCGCTGGTTTGAGGCCGCTTTTCTGAGGTTCCTGGACACATGATTTCCGCATGTGATCTGCCACAGATAATACACCTTACTTTGGCGCGGCACCTTCGAGAAATATGTCCGACTTTTAAGCAACGATAACACGCACCTATGTCACTTAAATTTTTGCGTTTTTGTTAGTACGGTAATTTTTGCGCGCGAAAATATTTCGCACTCTCATGAGAATTATTATTACAAACAACGCATCGCGGTTCGCTGGTGTTATTAGCTAAACCAGTCGCAGTGGGAATAGGGTTAGAAGATACGATTTTATGACTATTTGCATATTTATTTTTAGCAACATCTCTAGGGGATTTACTCAGACCTAAACCAAACCCTTCTACAGCCAACGATATATGCTGTTCATTTTCAACTTCATTTTTCAGAAACACCATGAGATTTTTCAGGCGATTTTCTAGACTTCATTCTCCGCTACCTCCACTGACATCCAAAGATGACACACGTTGCCAAACACGAAGGTCTGGTGGAAAACACGATTCAATAAGTGGAAATAACATAGCCGCGTACTTATCCGCCGTAATACCGAGTGTTTCTAACGCACGTAATTGAGTCTCTATCATGTCGTATAGCATCGAGAGCTCAATTCTTTCACTCGACATAGCGTTACCTATAATTAATTTTAACAACTCGCGTACGTAAACTTCAATTTGAAGATCGTCTCTACCAAATCGCGCCTTTAAACAGTCTACAATCTTCGAATAGTTACTACCAATCGCGGGAAAACTGTCCACTAATTGTCTTGCCCGGCTCCCCGCAACCGTGGCCTGGATTAAATATTCGACCTTATCACTTAAATCCAAATTAAGGTCGTCGTCAATTTTCTTAAATTGGAACCAAAACGGAAGCCAGTCTTTAATTGTCCCATCAAACTTTTTAAATTCTAACACCGGTAACTTAAACTTACGCTTACCTTGCTCTATAGCTGTGTTTTTACCGCTACATGAGTGGTTAGATCTCACCTCGTTAGCCAACGCGGGTGGCTTGAGAAACTCCTCACAGCGCACACACAAATCACAAAACTTATGTTCGTAGGTGTCGTTACTTTCAGCCTCTGTCACCAAATCGTTTTCACTAGCGTCTTCTCCCAGCATGGTATTGTAAATCTCCTCATCCAGTTCTCATCAATCTTTCACTTTTCACGCGAACTTGTCTTCGAACAAAACTAAAACGGTAAGTCACTGTCCTGTCACGGTCGCCACTAAAATATGTCGCATCACCAAAACTACCCGTTTCAGCAACACGTCGATTCGTTGAAATAAAAGGCAGTATTTTTACACACAACCCTTTAATTCAGTAAACTCACAAAATCAGTAAAAAAACAAGTAACGTAAAAAAGTATGTACAGTAACAAATATAGATAATTAGTAATAAGTAATAAATTCAACAAGCGAAGCCTCGAATTCGTAAAAAAGAACCCGTCGGAAAAAAATTAGCTTCCGATGTTTGCCGAACCCTTAACGATACTAAAGTCCTAAAATTCAGTTTTCTAAAAATTAAAACACATCTATTTAACTCGGTCTTCGGTCATAAATTAATAGACAAGTGTTCGCCAGGCCGATCGTTACCATGAGTAAAGTCATAAACTTTGACTTTTGAACAGGATTGAGAAAAAACACGTGCATCTTAAACTGAAATTCCCCTTTTTCTAAAAAATTCCACAAAATTGTTCCCTATAAATATTTACTGGCTCAAACAATCACTGTTCTAGTTACAAAATTGTAACTAATATTTTGGCTTGCGCATTTCGAATTATGAGGTTTATTTAATTGTTAATTAATAAAAATTAAGAATTACCACGTAAAGTACGTGTAAATTTGTCTGGTACTACATATCGTTAAAGTTTAAACGAAGAAGTGAAAAAAATGTATTACCTTAAAGAGTTCCAACTTATTGTTGCGCATTTCTAAAAGTCTTTAAATGCTGTCAGTAAAGAGCATAGTTGTGGAATAGTACAGTCACTGTATTAATGAGCTAATTATGTCTTTAGAGGCATAACATGCACTGCGTAGAATGTAATAATACGGCTTATACAAATGGTGGCAAGATTTCGTTACAAAAAAACCTTTAATCCTGTTATTATTCCATTAATGAATGGTCAAATGAATGAACAGTTTAAGAGCAAATGTAGGATAAATATGCATATTCTAGGTGCAAGTGCTAGGTGAGATTTTCGGCTGTGCTGGTAAATTTAGTAGAAGTCGCATTTATCGATGTCTACTGAATAATGAATTATGCTTAGAAAATAAGTAATGTGAGGTAATGGTGTGCTATATAATGTTTAAAACGGAAAACGTTGAAACGTTTATATGTCAAGTATCGAACCTGAAAATAAAATTACATACACTTAATGCTCTTATATCCATGAACCTGTATAAAAACGATCAAACTATTTATTATTGTAACCTAATTAGCAGGATTTCCGACGAGGAAAACAAGAGAATTGATATAATATTAAGACGACTCACTGTAAACAAACCAAACAATAATTTTCTTACCAATTACATACATACATACTTTTATGTTTACAAATATTACTTGGCCCATTGATTGAAAAAATTTTTATTTTTCGTATCTAGGAACAAAACTTCAAAAAATTATCAATCAATGGGCCAAGTAACATTTGTAAACATAAAAGAGCTACACCGATTATAAAATAAAGACCAACAACAAACATCTGGCATTTTCAAATTAATATTTTCTAGAAGGAAATCTCGAATTCTTAAGACGGCAATACCGGCTCTTCTTAAAATTTTGGACCAAAGATAAAAGCAATTTTCTCTAATTCACGTAGGAGGAAAGCCCCAACTTGACTGTTATTAGCCAGCTTCCTGCTGAAAAAACTTCGTCCTGTGTTTCATTACATAGAACTTCTGTTAAATTCTCAACTATATCGCTACATATACCTGGATCATTAAAAATTAATAATTACAAGACCAAATGGGTAGAGCAATTTAAAGGAGCTTAATAAGAGTGATCCATGCGAATTAAGTGGATCTAAGTCAATTCGGGTATTCAATTTAATTGAATAGAATAATATCGATCCACCAATAAGCACGCGCAGTGAAAGTGGTTTTTTATTTTAACACAAAAACCTAAACAAGCCCGAAGTCTGAGTATTCTTTTTCTAAATCTATGCCAAATATCATTGATAGTTCAGTTATGTTATTAATTTCATTCCAACTAACGTTTAACAGATTTTGTCTGCTATGTCACCCATTCTCATCTATGAACTGCATAATTAAATAAAGACGTTTCGCTAATATCTCACTTGGCATCCTCAATGCATGGGCTAAAAAAATACTTCGAACACTGGGAGGTTATCGGCTATGCGTGTAGTGCGGGAGGGGAAACGGCTCCCCCCCCGAATTGTGGCGTGGTTTATTATGCCCGATCGTAGTTGCGATTTCCCCTTCGGCTGCTGCGTATCGATCTGCCTTTTGATTATCGTTTTCTAGGTATTGGATTAATGCAGAACACCGTCTCTCGTATTTAGGTGTCCGGATGGCTTGTCGTATAATCCTGGTTCAAAAATCAGAAATGATAGCTATTTGTTTGCGGGTACTGAAATCTACTTTATGGCCTCTCGTGTTAGTTTCTTATGGCTAATCGAAATCCTCTTATTGGTCTGTCCTAAGTATGTCAAGGTGCACGATCCGCAAGCCACACTATGCACGCAATGTTTTTCCAAAGTAATATTTTGTTTTGGGTTTCTTAATAATGCTGAGAACAGGTTAATAAATATAAATGGAGTGAAATGATTCCCAAATAGCCTAGTGAAAACCGTCTCTCATTACTAACCTAAAGCATCGTAGCAAGAAAACTACTTATCATAAAACCTTAAAGTCGTTATTACGCCCATAATTATACTTATTTATTTGTCTTTTTTACGATTCAATGATAAAGGTTTATAATTTGTGATTTTTATATTTAAAAATTAAAAAAAAAACTGTAGAGGCACAAGATGGAAAAAGGACAGACTTAGAAATGAAACTAATGCCTCGTTAAATGCTCGAAGTGTTTTTCATCACACTCAACTCATCGATGAAACCACTCATGCGTGGACATTGTAGGAGCTTCAATTTCTGCTCCTCAAAGGTTATCATAGGCCTCTTGTATTCGTATTTTCATGTCGTCTCTCGTTATTGGTGTAAACAGACGTCTTAGATAGAAGTTCAAACAAGTAAGCTCTGGAGAACGGAGTGGCCAAGGAAATAAGATTTCCTAGTCCTATTCACCTGTGGTGATATGTTTGAACTAAATATTCTCGCACAATTCTTGAAAAATGTACCGGACAATCATCGAATTGCTAATAAATATTTTTCCTCAATTGAAGCAAAATTGGTTTACCAGTAAATCATGAAATATCTCTCCATTTAGTCGTTGATCAAAGAAATAGGGATCTATAAATAGCTTCATCATATTTTTGGGACTAAAATGGGCTTGATGTTGGACTTCGGGCAACCAGTGAGAGACTTTAAATATGTTGTAACAAAAATGTTAGTACTTTAGTATATTGCTTAGCTATTGCTGTGAACATGTGGCGGTTATGCACTTCTAATACAACTGAAAAGCTCGAACAGCAATCACCAGACACCTGACTAAAACGCAAAAGTTAAAAATAGTTTCTTTCTTCCTTCCTGCTTGCGCTTTGCAACCTGTTCCATGAGCATCGTTTTTAATTTTTCTTTCGGGACACTGTGACGTGACCCTGATTATATTATAGAATTGAAATATTGAATAATATTTTTTTAATGATCCGGCATTATTGTTTGCTACTAAAAAAATGATTCGGAACACGAAGCTTTTGCCACTTTGAAAATGAGGGTTTGAACCAAGCGGCCATTATGGAAAAAACAAATAAGAACTGCCAGTTGTGAATTAATATACTGACTTAAAGATAACAGTTTTTTTTGTATAACTAACCGAATTAATAACGACCAGTTTGAGAAGAAAGGCCCACAAAACATTAATCAAATTAGGATAGAGAATTACAAGAAGTAGAAAGTCAACTCACAATCCCGCTGAGTTTTCGAAATTTGCATATACATAAGCTAAAAATTAACGTTTTTAGAGCTAAAATAACAATTTGGTATATACCACCAGAAACGTATTTTTTTAATATTACGGTAGCCTATTCCGTATTTGTTGGACACAAGGACTATTTTTTCAATTTGCATTTGTTTAATCATTTGTTTTGAAAAAGTTATATTGAAAGCATAAAATTTTACGCAAAAATATTCTTTGAAAATTTTTCCGTAGAAAGAGAAAAATTGTCCCTTGCAAATTTTTTTAAAATATCTATTATCGAAATTATCTCTACTTGTGAAACGGTAAAAGTAATAAATATTTTGGAAAGTCGAGTTTGCGATTTTCTACCAGCTAATATAATTTGCGATGGTGCAGACCTATTACGTTTAACAGATCCTCTAACAAAAGGCTTTAATAATTAGGTTGTTTCTCTTAATTTACTTCAAATTCATTACAGAAAACATTACAAACCTCCACCTTGCTAGATATGATTCTTATACTCAGGAGAAGAAAACAATTTTCATTGCGGAACTCTAAACATCTCACACATATCTGATCACTTTTTAACTTACTGTATCATGTAAAGCGGTATAATTAAAACAGGTAAAACAGTACAAGTAAGAAATTTTAAGAATCTTGACAAGGGCGATATCAATTTTAAGGATATAATTTCTGTTCGGGATGTCAATCAAAAATTATAAAAGACATTTTCGTAACTATTTTTGATGTACTTTCACCTTTAAGTAAAAACCAAAAACAAAAAACCCCCTTGGTTAACTTTTAAGACAGAAAAACACAAATATAGTCATTCGCGCAGAAAATTTACATTATCTAGAATACTGCGTGCATAGTAAACCGAATAATTCCAAGATTCTTTGGAAAAAGCTTAATGATCTAAATATGTACATAAAAAATAAGAGTTTTTTTTGCTCTCATCATCCCAAAATCCTTCCGTTAACGAACATCTCTTGTATTCCCTTCCTAAGAAGTGGAAGCTGTCGAAAGTCGAAATCCACTCCGTAAAAAGTTTGAAATCTCAAATTTTAGTAACCTAAGAACGATTTGTATAATACCAGTATTATCAAAAGCCATTGAAGAGATAATGAATTATCGGATTAGAGAGCATCTTCAAAAATATAAAATACTTCTTTTAAATCAGGCGGGTTTTAGACAATAGTTTGGAAATTATATAATTAGACCGGCTAATAACGGACAAGCGCTTTCCCTAATACTTTTTCATCATTCTAAAGCCTTCGATTTATTAAACTAGTTGTTACTTGCAATTTTACATTTTATTGATTTTTCACACCTTTACGAAAAAGATACAAATCTGTACCTTTCATTAATTCCGTCAACTCACAATAAGGCCCAAATTTTAATAAATGAAGATTAACAAACATTAATACAATTTTCAAATGATCATAATTTAGAAATTATTGCAAAAAATTCTTCTTTGGGAATCAATCTGACACTATTCAATATAATTTTCGCAAAAAAATTCAAAGTGAAGAAACAAAATGCTCGAACAATGGCAGAAATTCGGACTAAATTTTGATATTAATCTTCCTTTTAAAATTCATGGTAATAAGATGATACGCACTGTGTATGGTAATCTAACAATCTTATATCCAAACAGACATTTGTTATTAAAGTCATTAAAAACAAGGTTGACTAATTTGTTGGTTAGTTTGTGACACATGATTCATTTCATTCATTTGTGGTATACGTACGAAGATCCCAGTTTCATATAAACTTAAAGGAACAACGTGACTAACAATGGAAAGCAGACGTAAATTACAATCATTTACTCTGTTTCATAACTTAATATTAAACAAGTGTCCAAAGTACCATTACAACAAAATTTTCTTTGGTGCTGATATGTCTACGCTGAACTTGAGATTTCGTGTGATTACTTTCAGTGTTGGGGTTGAACTTGAACTTTTTAAGATTGTTTTCAACTCCCCTTTTTGCAACCATAGGGCTAATTTTTGTGATAATTTCTGTATTATTTTGATGCGAAATAATAATTATTAATATTACTATTTTTTGTATGAAGCCGCAGGAACCGATATCAGTTTAGTCTATTTCCTTTAAAAATAAAATAAGTCACGGGAAATGCGAAAAAACGAAAGACTGAGATACTTACATAATCATTGACTCGGATGCTAAGCTAAAAAGGTGGCATAACTCAACTATTTAATGATCACAAAGCAACATATAACGTATCAGAAGTATATCAGAGAATTCACCAAAAATAATGAGTGGAGAATTGGAGTTTGCCATAAAAACTGCTAAATCCGGCAAAGCGGTGGAACCAGATTTTGGGTCCGTTAAATATCGTATATAGAGGAGGACTCATTCCCCAGGAATACCTTCTTTGCGACTTCATACCTATTCCGAAAAAATCCCGACTGTAAACTTGTAAGTCTCATGAGTCATGCAACTCCTTCTTTGACTCCACTATATAACTATATAACAGCTGCGAGCCTGAAACAACAAGTACACCCAAACGGGTTCCGCAACGGAATAAAGACAAGAGAGGCCTTGTAGTAGTGAAGTGCCTTGAATGTCTTATCTCAGAGATGCCTCCGAGGGAGTCGCTGAATTCATTTTGATATTATATTAGTTTCATTTCCATTTTGCTTTTTCTTGGGTTTAATATTTTTTATTCCTGAAATAAAACGAGATTACTTAGGAAGCACAGTTTTTTATTGGTTTTCTCTATAATTTTGAGATAATCGTCCTCATTTGAATTTCCGGGAAAAACGACAAATGCAACATTGCGAGGCTACGGTTTATGTTCTCCAGCCAAATCTGGAATGCGATCCTAGTCAGTCCATAAATTCAGAGTTGCGCTGGTAAATAACGTTCCTATATTTACTACGGAATATACGTTCTCTTTTGTTAGTTTTCTTTATACCAATAGTTTGTGTGTGATTTCTTAAACACAATTGCGGAACATTAAAGTGGTGAATTTTCTGGAAATGACTGAAAAACTCGACATAAATATTAAACTACCCATCGTTCAACGGAGCGACCTTTTCGAGAGGTCGTCCGGTGGGACATTTTTCCTACAAAATTTCGCATAGAGACCATAAGAAACTGATTCGCATGCCGGAGCCTTTTGCGACGCAGAGTGACACTAAACCACCGGATTTGATGTTGTGGAAGGACTGGATAGCAGAACAATCAGCGTCCAATTCTCGACAACCCTCCGGTGTATCATGAACGTTACAAACTCGTTCCGTGCATATAAAACGATCGACTAAATTTGTAATTTGTAATTTACGTTTTAACTTTGCTACTTTTATGCCAGATGAATCTTAATATCGCGCGAAATATCTGAGCTACTGATATGTAAAAATGTTTATAAGCACAACTCGCAGCTGACAAATAAAATTTTTAATTGTCGATTCTAATTTTCCTTGAAGGTTGAAAAAAAGCACTATTTCCTGTAAATTAAATAGAGCAAAGGAATGTAAAAAACCCGTTAAGAGAAATGATTAAACACATCTCTCTTTCTTTTGAGAACTATAACAAGACATATACACACATGGCTTGATCGTTACCGATATTTTGACCGACCATTCGCAGAGTTTCGAGACTTGGCGAATGGTCAGTCAAAATGTCCCGGTAAACATCAAACCATGTGTGTGTATGTTTGGTTATAGTCCTCCGCTTTAAAATGCCATACAGGTGGATTTATTGAAGATTATTATTGTAAATGTACAAGAACTTCAACCGCTATCCAACAAACGGAAATAGCTACTATAACTAGAACTGCCTCTACGTTAAAAGCATTCTAGACGAGGTTTGACCATAGCAAGTACAGCAAACATTATCATGTACCCGAATTCTACAATCGAATTCGTTCTTTAAGACCTGAATGATCTTTTAACGAAAACTCTAAAAGGATGTGGATTATAAGGAATAGTAATAATATTTTTATGACAAAATGTGTATGTGTATTGCTTTAGTTAGCATAGAATGTTATAGCGGTTAATTTTCACTCTCTATCTCTAAAAGACTGGCCTGATAAAAAATACATAAAAAACCTTTGTTAATGTTATTTTTAAATGTTAAATTAATGTCCCGAAAATAATCAAATCAAAGACAACTAAAAAATTTTGATTTTGAACAGTAGCCTGAAGAAAAGGAGCAAACATGCGATCTGCAAATTAAACACAATGAAGCAAACCTAATGTGTTGGAAAATATTGCGAAGGAGTCAACGAAATAGCAAAAAAATAAAGCTAGCGTTAACAAAGATTTCATATTTTTATTATTCATTCTTGCTGTTACTTATTAGACGAAAGTTCATGTTTTAAATCAAAATACCGACATCATCCAAGAAAGTTAACAATGCGCTGGTTGTTCTTCCAGCATTGCGGGTGTATTCCCGCTTATGTCTCTACTGTTGACATTAGCATTATGTTCAATTAATATTTTAACGACTTTAAAATGTTTTTTTTTGCATGCGTAGTGAAGGGCGGTTCTCCTTTGGTGACAATAGGGGTGGATACTTGCATCCACATTTAACAAATAATCTACGACGTCCGGGTGACCCTTTAGAGAAGCAACAATCAATGGCGTCTGGCCAGAAACATTTCGGGATTCCTTGTCGGCACCTCGATTAATTAAAAGTTTGACAATTTCCATATTTCCATTGAAACAAGCGCAGTGCAGGGAGGTACCCAATTTTGGGTTACTACGTTTAACTTTTGCATCAAGCGCACTTTCAGATACTTTCATATTAACATCAGCGCCACAGCCCAATAAATAGCATAAAAATCTTCAAAGTTACTAATGCAAAGTGATCTTTGCATTGCGTCAAAACGGGAGCAACTCATCGTCCTAAAAAGTGCTTGGGATTATTTCCGATTTAATATATAATTAATTATATAATTAAAATTACAAATATCTCCAACGCAAACCTGTGTCTGCAAGTATACAATATCTACAGTCAACCAAAATTGTTAAATGCACTTTTAAATAGTCCTAACTTGATGAGTATAATCGGCTGCTTTTGTTTCTATAAAGTAAAGTAAGTATTTGATTTTAAATATCTTGGCTTGTTTGCTTGCCTGTAGCATTTTAAAATAAATCCGGAATTTTCTGATAGGTATATGGCAGGCTTTTCTTAAATAGATTAGATAATGTTGGTGGTTGAAATAAAATTTTGTCGCATTTATCTATCGATCTAAAAAGTTTTCAATGTAACAGAATTTCAATTGAATAGTCTTCATCTATGTCAATTTCTTATTGTCCACTTTTTAATTTCACAACAGATAAGGTAATTTCTTTACGAAAAAAATAAATTTTACTAATTCTGTGTAACAAAATGACTAGTGCCCGGGATACCGCCAAATTTCGGCCAAAATTTGAGATTTCTAAATATTCAACTAACCCAGCCAGATGAATTTAAACTGGGGTCTGTAACCGCCAGGGATAACTATAGGGAAATATTTTACAGAAATAATCAGAAAATTACAGCGGATAGAAAAACGCAACAATATTCGATCGATACAAGCGGCAACACTGTGATACTGAAAATATGTTCGATCGATGGGAAATAGCCAAAATTTCGGCAAATTGTTACTATTTGGTTTAACAAAACGTCTGATGTTCCACCTTCCAACAATAAAATTCGTGATATTTGACACATCATCTTCGATTTTTTTTAACTGCTACGATTTGGCTGACAATTTTGCGTAAATAAAAATTGACAATTTTTTGCGTTTATACGGTTTATTTTCCTGAATAAGCTTATGAACGTGTTTTTTGCTTTACGTTTTTTTGTAACATTTTTGAAAACAAACTATCAAAACTAACCAACGTCAAAATATCATTAGTGTTTAAAATCTATCCAAAATGATTATTCCCAAACTCGCTACTAAGAGATCGGAAACGTCCGAAGCCGCTCGCGGACATGGATAACGAAGATGATATCTGAAATATAGGAAATTTTCACGTAATTTTTTTTATTATTATTTTATTTCGAATCCAAAAAAGTGTTATTTGTATTATATTGTCCGACTAATTATTCTTTAAAGGCAAAAAAAATACCCACTTTTTCTTATAGTGTTTTGAACTGATGTTAAGGCTCTGTTCTTTAAATTACTGATAAAATTCATTTTTTTTGTATTCAAAAAGTGTGTCCTTAAATCCGTTCCATCGTACTCAAATTGCCTTCGCTTCTTTCAAATAGAACGCCAATAGAAAAAGTTGAATCTTGGAATGCAAGTTGTTGAAAATGTCTTTCCCGGTTTGAATGTGATCCTCCGGTATACATGTAAGTATATACTTTAGATAAATTTTAGAAAATGTAGATTGGAACGGTGCTTGAGCACTGCATAAGTTTCAATTCCAAGCCCATATATTTCGTAATGAAATATTTTGTCAAAATTGGATAAAATATTAATAAATATGAACTCTGAGTTCTAAAAATTGGTCGGGATTAAAAAAAATTCTGTGACAAGCGAGCAGTCCGGCCATGCCTGCATTCCGAGAACTCGGGCATACGCGGGAATCGCTGCGGGATCATAGATGTCGCCACTCGGAAAGATGGCTGGAATATTCGACCACAATCGCGAGCGAGCTCTGCGTTCTACAAAATCTGCGCCATGGCCAGTCAGTTAGAAAAGTTGAACCAGAGCACGTAATTATAAATAATCGAGTGATAAAAAAGTTATATAAATCGTTAGAAGGGTTAATGTTGTTGATTGTTATTTTGGACGAAATAACTGGTCCGATATGCGGTAATCACAAGAAAGTATAAATGCCTATTATTTTATCTTCTGGATGTCATGACACAACACAACAAAAATAACGTAAAGTTCGTATAATCAAAAAATTATGGATAGATAAATAGAAATAAAATTTAATGATCGGTGTTATTTTTCAAAGCAAATTGTTTAAATTGGTGGTGGAGTTTTTATCATTATTGCATTAAATTATATAGTACAGATTACTACTAACGGAGATTGGACGCGCAACCAGAAAAATATTGGTTCAAACTTCCGACCGAAACGATAAAGGTCAAAGTGGGAGCGCAAGTAAGTTGTAGTCATGACTATTTCTTGTCAGACTAAAATGAATACTATAATTATTACACTGGGTAACAAACGTAACAATTATTTTTACTCCTTTCCATCAAATACCGAATTATACACCAATCTAGGTTGCGGAAAGTGTCATTTTTAGACATTAGTTTCGTTTGCTACCACTGCGAGCCATTTCGGATAATTTCCGGCTTTGGTAGCAGTCCGATGTTTCCGGAGATAATCCGCCCAGCTTGAATTTGACATTTGTCAATTATAACGGCATTGTCGGTGAATTTATTCGTGCTGTTTTGCAAAAATGAATCCCAAAACTAACAGTCGCAGAAAAAATATAGCATGCAACACAGGCTCTGGGGTATATTCAATATTAGACAAAACTGTCACGTTATACTAGTTTTTGTTCCTATCCGAGCTAGGACTGATATGTATGATTGTGATTAGTAAATGAGAAAGATAAGTTCAGAATGTCATTAGTTGCTTATGATCGCATAATAAAAATGAAAGCAAAATTTGCCACATTTACCTATAAACTTTACAGACTTAAAATAGAACAAATTAAATTTAGTGTGGACCAATGTGTGGTGCGCCCAATACCTTGTCTCAGTTGTGTTTGTCGTTTAGCGGACTGCCAGAAGTTAAGAAGAAGAAGACGAGTAAGAACGGCAAAATAGGTAACTATGGCAACCCTTGACGGTAGTCGGTAATGGGCGAAAGTTCTTGGTTGACGTGCCCACTTTAAGGAAAAGCAAAGAAGAAGAAGGTAACTATGGTGGTGGTGAGAAGAAGGTAGCGGGATACGGTAGTGTTGTGTCAATCGTTCATTTTACGAGAACCGAATCAATCAGTGACCAATTTCGAAAAGGAACGAATCATTTCAATCAATCGTTCATTTCAATATACCTTGTTCCTGACATAAGCGGCAATAGTCACTGAATCCGAACAGTCTGAACGACCTATTCAGATTCATTAATACATTAATTTGTTTAAATTAAGTACCTGTGTGCAAATAGATATTTAATTCAATATTTAATTGAATATATAAGCAAATCTACCAATCGATGTCGCAACTCAGTACTATAGAATAATTATAACAATACTCCCAATCCTTTTCCGTGGCCTGTCTCAGTCATGCATTTAAATCTTAAACCATTCAAATGAATCGTATTCCGGTGAATTCGATTTGTTTTAGTATGGTCGGTCGATCAGTCGTCCTGTATTCGGTGTAGAGTTGTGTCAATCGCGATTGATTCGGTCACTTTGATTCAATCACTTCATAGGACCGAACGACGGAATCCCGCTTGTTCGTAACGATTCGATCACTTTGTTCGCTCTCGCTGCCGCCCGGACCGGTATGAAGTGACCGAATAGAGGACGACAGATCGACGGACCGTACCACAACAAATCGAATTCACCTTGCGAAATACGTTTCATTTGAATGGTTTAAGATTTAAATGCTGAGACTGAGACTGGCCACGGAAATGAAATGGGAGTATTGTTATAATTATTCTATAGTATTGAGTTGCGACATCGATTGGTAGATTTGCTTATATATTGATTAGAGTCACTTCAGAACGGTCAGGGCGGCAGCGAGAGCGAACAAAGTGATCGAATCGTTACGAACAGGCGGGATTCGTTCGTTCGATCCTAGGAAGTGATTGAATCAAAGTGACCGAATCAATCGCGATTGACACAAATCTAAGATACGGTACGGGCCAATTTTTCGAGTATTATTTTTTTTATTTTTCTTGTAAAACTACCAAATGTGTAAGCGTGTAATTCGGTTTAAAAGGAAAATAGAAAGTACGACATCAGTTGTTGTTTATTTCCGATTGGCTAGCCGAGGCAATACAAATGCACTAAAAATTTTGCTAAACAAGTCGACGCTCCTGCTTTTCCAGTTCTCTATTGTAGTGAAGAGCGTGTGTAGCAAGTAAAGGAAGGAAATATTTTATTTTATACTTAGCTTAATCTAAAATAAAATAAAATATATTCAAGTTCTGGGCGACATACAACGATGGACCACCTTAAATTTTGGATATAATAAGGACGTTCTCAAAGAGAAGCAACATATCTTATCTTCATTCTTAGGCAGGTTCAAAGTAGGTTGAGAAACAACTGATGAAACTACCGCCGTAGTACTAATCGATTTTGCTATAGCCATTGACGCCCTGAAGTTTTATGAGAAATATAGGAGGCTTTAGCCACCTAGCGACAGTGCTGCAAAAGTATCTCACAGATTTACAATAGGACTACTATGGTCCGACCTGTACATCTTGCAGAGAAAATTGGAATTACATATACAGTTCAAGTGCGATTAATCTTCGAGTGCCTATTCTAAGATTATCAATTCATATTACTATTATCTATTTTCTAGATGGAACTATAGTTGAAAAACAACAAACAGTAATAAAAATACCGACCGTCAAATCTCTATTAAATATTATAAAAGAGTTTCGCCATTGCTAAGAGTGAACAAGAATTAAGTTCAAATTTACAATTGCAGTAATAATGGCTGGACATCTTCTAGCCACGACATATCTTCCGTTTCGATTGTAAATGTTTCATAATAATTAAATCTTATCTACAATCTTATTTGTCATTGTTTGCTATGCACGTTTTCCCCGGAATTTTGATTAAATTAATCAATCGCAACATAATGCCACACCTTGAAAACACTTTAATATCATTGTCCTAATTACAAAATTATAGCTAATATTTTGGCTTGCGCATTTCGAATTATGAGGTTTATTTAATTGTTAATTAATAAAAATTAAAAATTACCACGTAAAGTACGTGTAAATTTGTCTGGTACTACATTTCGTTAAAGTTTAAGCGAAGTAGTGGAAAAAATTTATTACCTTCCAGAATTGTAACTTATTGTGGCGCATTTCTAAAAGTCTTTAAATGCTGTCAGTAAAGAACACAGTTGTGTGAAAATATCAATCAGATAATTTCGAAATATAAGAAATGCAGTCCTATGTAATTGGAAGCTAATTCTGTCTTGAGCGGCATAATATGCAGTGTGTAGAATGTAATAATACGGCAAGATTTCGTTACAAAAAACCTTTAATCCTGTTATTATTCTATAAATGGATAGTCAACTTGATAAACAATGTATGAGCAAAGGTAGGATAAATAATCATATTCTAGGTACATTTTTAACGAAAAACGTTGAAACGTTTATATGCGAAGTGTGGAACTTGAAAGTAAAATTACATACACAGTTCACTTAATTCTCTTATATTCATGAAGTTATATAAAAACGATCAAACTATTTATTAGTGTAACCTAATTGAACAGGATTTCTGCATACTACTCGATCCGTATCTGGACGCGACGAGCAAAACAATATCTTAGACACTGGAGTAGATGCAAAAGAATCGATATAATATTAAGCCGATTCACTGTAAACAAACCAAACTATATCGTGCTGGCCAAATATATACTGGTGAATTTGTGGGATCACAATTAAATATAAATAAAAAATAAATAAATAAACATAAGAAGTTTATCAATCAATGGGCCTAGGAACATTTGTAAACATAGAAGGGCTACACCGATTATAAAATAAAGACCAACAACAAACATCTGGTATTTTCAAAATTAACATTTTCTAGAAGCCGGATTAAGGAAATCGTTCGAATTCTTAAGACGGCAATAGTGGCTCTCCTTAAAATTGGGGACGAAAGATAAAAGCAATTTTCTCTAATTCACGTAGGAGAAAAGTCCCCCCACTTGACTTTTATTAGCCAGTTTCCTGCTCAAAAAAACTTTGTCCTGGGGTTCATTACATAGAACTTGTGTTGCTGTAAAATTCTCAGGTACATAGCTACAGATACCTGGTTCAATAAAAATAAATAATTACAAGACTAAATGGGTAGAGTAATTAAAAGAAGCTTAATCAGAGTGATTAATGCGAATTAAGTGGATCTTAGTCAATTTAATTGAATAGAATAACACCGATCCACCAATAAGCACGCGCAGTGCAAGTGGTTCTGTATTTCAACACAAAAACCTAAAACATGCCCAGAGTCTGCTATGGTCAGTTACAATATTCTCAAAGATTTCCTTTAAAACGTACGGTTAAATATTCTTTTTCAGTTAACTGAGTCGCATCCAAATATGAATTCGAATCTTCCAATGCACACTATGTTTGAGGCATGTTACTGGAACTATGCCAAATATCATTGATAGTTAGGTTATGTTATTAATTTTATTCTAACTAACGTTTAACAGAATTCGACTGATATGTCACCCATTCTATGAAGCCCATGATTAAATAAAGACGTTTCGTCAATATCTCACTTTGCATCTTCAACGCTCGGGCTCCAAAAACACTTCGAGCACTGGAAGGTTATCGGCGATGCGTGCGGTGCGAGAGGGGAAACGGCTCCGTCCCCTGAATTGCCGCGTTGTTTATTTCGCCCCATCGTAGTTGCCATGTCCCCGTTGGCTGCTGCGTGTATTGGATAAATGGAGAGCGTCGTCTCTCATATTTAGGTGTCCGGACTTTTCTATCTCGATGGCCTCTCGTATAATCCTGGTCCTAAAATCAGAAATGTTAGCTATTTGTTTGCAGGTACCGAAATCTATTTTATGGCCTCTCTGGTGTTGATGCTGGAATAAAGCCGATGTGGTTTGTTTATTTCTTACGGGTAAACGATGTTCACAGAACCTATGTTGACACGCCTGAAGAGAGCTACGCTGCATGTAAATATTGTTATGGCCGTTATTCACGTAAATTACTTTTTAGACATATAAAAAGTTGTCCAGAGAAAACAGAAGCATCTAGTAATGAACATAATATAGCTATTATATATATGTTTTGTTTTAGTCCTTCACGGATGGAACTATGTGTATTGGTGGTAATCCGGGTGTTCATCCGTTTGTTGTTTGACCCTGGAGTAGAATCATTCGCCTGAAATTTCGCCAAAATATCACTTGGCATCTTCAGAGGCCGCGCGTCCATGTCACTCGTACATGTCCGCACTTAACCCAAAAAAAAAATTACTCTGGAAAACCAAGGAGTATACAGTGTAGCATGCGGATCGTGCAGCCTGACGTATGTGGGACAGACCAACAGAAGGATTTCAGGCAGGCTCGAGGAACATCGTTTAGCCATAAGAAACAAACAAACAACATCTGCTTTGTTTCAGCACCAACACCAGACAGGCCATAAAATTAATTTCGGTACTTGCAAACAAATAGCTTATATTCCTGATTTTAGGACCAGCATTATACGAGAAGCCATCGAGATAGAAAAGTCCGAACACCTGAATACGAGAGACGACGCTCTGCATTTATCCAATACATGGAGAACGATAATCAAACTCCAGAGCGATACGCAGCAGCCAACGGGGACATCGCAACTAATATCGGCGAAATTAACAACGCGACAATTCGGGGGGCGGAGCCACCTCTCCTCCCGCACAAGCAGCACGGTTACCTCCTCCGGCGCAGGGTATATATACCGTATACACCGCCGAGAACCTCCCAGTGTTCGAAGTGTTTTCGGAGCGTGAGCATTGAAGTTGCCAAGTGAGATTTTGGCGAAACGTCTGCAGGAGTCCAGTCGGATGCAGGATTCCAGTCGGAGTTCAACAAGTTTTTTTTTAATTAGGAAGGGAAAATCTTACATAAGACTTCCACAGTTGGCATTGTGGAGTATGTCGGATTCCTACCGACTAAAAACCACCTCCTCACTTCTAGCCACACATAGCGGAACCATCCGTAAGTATTACTTCGCTACGTTGGCTGGTCTCTTCATTAATATTTTACCTCTTTTATTTTAAGTTTCTCTTTCCTTACTTGTCAGAATCGATCATGCCAGTTCTGAAACGCAGCTCCAAGTTCTATCGGACTCTAGCATCAGCTGCACTATGTTTTGTGTTGTCAGTGTGTTTCCTATCAATTGTTCGGCTTTATTGCGTTGCTCTTGCCACCTTGTACATATGAAAAACGTATGTTCCACACTATCTTCTACGGTGTGACAATACATGCAATGTGCTGTCTCAGTTAGTCATTGCGTCAGATGATAGTTTAGAGTTCCGTGTTTTCTATAATGCCATGATAGAATATTTGGAATTAATATTTTTGTCCAGCTACCGGCACTATTTGCCCCAGACCATCGTTTTTGCCATTTCTCCATGGATTTTAATCTTTCAGTTGTCTTGTAGTATTGTCATTTCCATATGATGCCTCCTTTTCTAGCACCTGCAGGTCAATCGGCATTATCCCTGCTAGAACCAGCGCAACATCTGTTGATACCGTTCTAAAAGCACTGCATACTCTAATGGCCAATTTTCTTTGTACTCTGAGCATCATATTGACATAGTTTCTGAATCTCAATATACCTGACCAAGAAGGCGCAGCATATAACATGATAGAGTGGGTCACGGTGCTCAGCAGTCTTCGTTTAGCTGAGGTTGGTCCGTCAAGTTTAGGCATTAATCTGATTAGGGCTGTAGCAGACGCTTCCGCTTTTTTGCACGTGTTCACTATGTGTTTCTTTAGTGTGGTACCTTGATCAATGAACACACCTAGGTATTTTATCTCGGGTTTCGTCTCTATTGAAGTGCCCATCACGTCGATGATGATTCTTTGACTACTCTTTTGTCAACCATCAAAACTGCTTCCGCTTTTTCTGGGGCAAGTTGGAGCTTCATTTTCCTCATGCACTCGACCACCCTATATATCGCGGTATTTGTTATTGTTGTCAGCATTTCTGCAGTTTCACCGGTTGCTATGATAGCAAGGTCTGCTGCATACCCGATAATTTTAACGTTTCGTGGCATTTCTAATTTTAGTACCTCGTCATAGTATGCATTCCAGAGAAAGGGACCGAGCACGGATCCTTGCGGTACTCCACAAGTGGTCTCTATTATATTGCTGTTGCCCACCAGCAATTCCCTGTTTTCGAGGTAACTTGTCACCATGCGCATAAGAGACGGAGCTATGCTCCTTCCTTCAAGTGCTTTCACTATTCCTAGCCACGGTGCCGAATTAAACGCGTTTTTCACGTCAAGTGTAACGAGAAGGCATAGCTTTTTGTGGCTTTTCCAAAAGCACAAGCTTTGCTCTTTTCCATATCTATGGAAATTCTCCTATGCAAAGTTGCCGGTTCATTAGCCTTAGAATCTCCATCGGGAAATTTTCGGCGACCTTCTTTATAATCTCGGCTGGAATTCGATCTGGTCCAGGGGCTCTTTTTGTTTTTTGTTTTGCTGGATGCTTCTTTCATTTCCTCTGTTTTGAAGAGAGGAATGTCATTTTCGTTTACATATATTGGGGTATACTTAATTTTTTCTGCCTTGGGAAAAAGTTTTCTGGCCTCTTCCAGCATAGCCTAGTCGTTCATAAGCAGGGGTCGTCTCAGGCAAAATGCTTTTGTCCCTATCTTATATCCCAAACCCCATATGTCATCTTCGACTTCTTCCACCACTTTTTTCCATACTTTTTTCTTCACTTCCTGGATTGCCTTTTTAAGGAATGTTCGTTTTTCTTTATACCGCTTTAAAGCCTTATTTTTTTCCACTTGACTCGTGTTGTGTGATTTATTTTTCCTGGTCATGATACGTTTTTTGTTCAGACACTCTTTTCTTAGTGCAGATATCTCTGGTGTCCACCAGTAGGCAGGTTTTTTGTCCTCCTAGATCCTCTCTGATTTTAAAAGTGTTGTTGCTGGCATTTGTAATGATAACGGGCTACGTTTCTGGGGTGATATTCTGGTTAGTTTGGTTTGCTATGTCTTGTCCCAGAGTTATTAAAAATTTTCCCATTCTTGATTGCTCTATGTTCCATCTTGCGTGCTTTTGTATTCGGAGATCTACGTTTTTGGTCTCTTTATTGATGTCACCAATATCGAAAAAGAATGTAATTGTGGCCGGTCAGGTTTTCCTCGTCAGATACTGCCCATTATGTATTCCTTTTTGCAAGCCCACTAGTTGCAAATATGATATCGATAAAGGACTCGCAATATCCTCTTTTAAATGTTGGCATCGTGCCTCGGTTAAGCACAACGAGCTCTATTTCTGAGGACCATTCCGAGAGTGCTTCTCCTCTACGGTCGTTTACGGGAGAACCCCACGTCATCGACTTCGCATTAAAATCACCGCATATAATACACTCTTTTGTCTGTCTACGAATACTTAGTCTGAGGTGGTACAGGAAATGGACAAAAAAGTCTTCGCTTTCATTCGGCGATATGTAACAGCTGTATACTACTATGTCTAAGCACTCTATCCAGACATATCCCTGTCCCTTACCGCTATTTTGGATTGCACCAAGGTGATGTGATGGTGCTATTACAACGTTCAAGTTGTCATCGGTGTACCAGTGGTTATTTTTTCTTGAAATTTTTTAGTTTTGTTCACTAAGAACTACCAGATCCACCTCCTTCTGTCGTATCATGCGTTGGAGCATATCATGGGCGGCATATCTTCTACCCAAGTTTACTTTTGAGCATTTTGTGTGCGTCTTACTATTTCATCTGTTTGGATGCCCATTTCGCTGGTTTCTTTTCTTGGTGAGTCCATTTTATATCCGTCAAAAATGCAGTCGTGGATATGCTCGTTGGCTTTATCTAGCAGACCCTGAACTTCCTGTGACATTAGTTGTTCGGTCAGTCTTTGAATTTTGCCTGCTGCTTCTCTTATTTCTTTCATACACTCCAGTAGTAGTAGTTTTCGGAGCGCAAGCATTGAAGATGCCAAGTGAGATTTTGGCGAAACGTCTGCAGGATTCCAGTCGGAGTTCAACAAGCAAACGGATGATATCCCGAAATATAGTGTCATCACATTTTTCCATCCGTGAATCAATACGTGGATTTTTTGCACTTCAATTTCCTGCGAATGATTTCGGAAAATATAAATATCACAATTATTCGTTCTCTAAGTCATTTTGCTTTTAATTTACTATTTATTTTTCTTAGTTCTTGTCGTAGTCTAAATTTGGAATAATTTTGCTTTTCGCCATGAAATATAAGCATTTACACTATTTTTTTTTGTTGTCATTTAAAATTTTTAGACTATGGAAGCCCAAACCTCGCTCTAAACTTAATATATCTATAAATAACTGTGAGAAACTATTTTAATCAACAATTGACAAAATATCATTTATTTAGAACCAGAAGCTATGCAAAGAAAAAGAAGTATTAGAACTTGAACGTTTTTGCTACACAGCGAAATGCTTAATCTTTTTCGTTATGTTCTAGAATCTTCTAGAACCTAAAACGTTGAAATGAAATGCCAATTTATGTTGATATTGTTGCGACTCTCCATTAAAACTAATCATTCGGTTTATATTTACCTTAGGTGATGTTAACAATAAGTTACTTGAACAGGATGGTTTAGCATCGGGAGATGTCTAGAATAAATAATTCAATTTTTGAATTGTAATTTAAATTGTAAACCAAAGATTACCGAAACTAGAGAGTATTGCAAATCAGTAACTTTATCTAATGAGTCGATATATTTGAATCTTGGTTCCTGCAAATAGATAATAAATGTTAAGTCTTAAGGCGTAAAGGATAACATTTTGAAAGTTCTTAAAAGCTGACAAAAGTGAAATGACAATCTTACAAGTTCGTCTTCGGAATTTGAGTCCGACGGATAATATGTGGGGTCTTCATCTGAGTTCGATGAGAATTCGAAATTATCTAAGATGATAATAGAATTTCAATACAGTCATATCTATAAACATGTCCTTTCTCCATAAAATCCCTAAATTCTTAAAATCGAATATCCATCTAACAAATTTCAACAAAATGCGATATATGTATATTGCTTAGTGGGTTTCAGTCTAATCAATGCTAAACTAATTAAATAAAGTTTTTAGTTTTAATGTCCCATTTATTTCAAAAATAAAACGAAAGTAATTCAAATAACATTCGAATAATTTAAGTGGTTATTCTGCATGAAAAAATAAAAAAAAAATAATATGAACATATGTAATATAGATATAGTTTTCGAGATACAAGGTGCCAATTTTTTTTCGTTTGTAATAAATATTTTTTAACACGACTTTTGCTTCGTAAACACCATATGCTCCTGTGCTGTGGATAGATTTGTCCCAATTAGGAATATGCAATAAAATCGAAAATGAAGTTTCATTTATTTCAATCAAGACTCCTGTGAGAACAAATTTTAACACAACATCTTTTTTTTTAAGTTTGCCATCCTGTATCTTGAAAATTTATTTTCGGAATATGTTCACATGATTTTTTTTTATTTATTCATGTAGAATCATTTCTTAAAGTAGTTATTTCCGGACATACATTTAGGAAAGTTTAGTCATGAAATAAATACCCTGTTTATTTTTAAAAAAACTGGATATTATTTAGTTAGTACGTTTAACGATAGTTGTATTTAATAGACTAAAGTTTGCACTGACTGGTCTTCCTGCGGAAGCGAAAACAAGCGTCAAAAAGAATTGAATTTTACTTTTTATTAAACTTCTGGATTCCTCCTTCGTGGGTTTTTGTTGAGTCGAACTAGCTAACGTTTGGCCAATCATCCTGTTGACTTCTTCAGAGCTTAACTGAAACTACTTAGCTAGTTCGACTCAACAAAAACCGAAGCAGGAGAAATCCAGAAGTTTAATAAAAAGTATTACAGTAGTCTGGGTTAAGTTAGAAGGTTCCTTCTTATGATGTGTTCTAAAGCTTATTACATACATTTAGCTATTGGAATATAGATGTCATAATATAAAATTTCGTGAAAATCTGAACTTTTAGTTCTTATTTCTTTTGATAAATGGATTTTCGTCAAGTAAAAGCCACCTCATATATATATATATATATATATATATATATATATATATATATATATATATATATATATATATATATATATATATATCATATCTATTTAAAATAAATATGCTGTGATATCACTCATGAAATATTGTATAAGCTCACAGCGATTCTACGATTATTGAATGTCACAATCCAGGGGAGTGTTAACTGAATGGTATTGTACACTTTCACATGAAAACATGCTAATTTTCATACTTCGGAGTATAAAAGAATTTGCCAGGCTCGGTTGGTAATTGTCGATGGTGCATAGGTTAAGTAACTTGTATATTCATTTAATTTATTTTTTCTACTCCCTACTTTAAAATACCCAATCATGCAGTGATCAGGCCTGTACAAAGTGACACTTTAAGACGTCAGCTTTATTAAATACTGTCGTGGACCATTGTGTTTCCGATACTTTAGTTACTGATATTTTCAGTAGATTTTACCAACGGATGGTAATTTGATGGTTGTTAATTGTGACGGTCACGTCACACATCAATCAGTAAGTTAGTGAGCTGCTTTGCCAAGAAGTACCTTAAACTAAGGGTCGTAAAAAAACTATAGCATGGCAATACGTTGATAAACTTTTTCATCAACCAGTTTACTAAACATTGTTAGCACTTCGACTGGCAAACAAAAAATAACTTGAAAGAAAAAGCTAAAAGATAACGGGGAGGTAGACTCTTATTGAAGTATTAAATTGAGGGTGGTCAGACTATAATTGTACTCGGTGATTCACTACTCGAAAGTTGTTTAAAGTTGAGGAGTTCGTCCTATTTCTGCCCTGGCCACCCAGTTGGTGAGGGGTGGGTAAAACGTAACCAAAATTAGAGAGATTTTGGCGCCACCCGTTTTTCACCGGACGTAGCCCCTCGAATAATGAAAAACTGATTATCACAAAACGGGAAAGGAGGAGTATTAGCTACAAAAAAAAGTCTAGGCCTTAAGTTAATAGCAAGCATCTATTGTTATTAAACAAAGTCTCCAAAAGAAAAAGGGGAAAGAACCAAAAGTACGAGTGTGGTGTTATATAAAGCATAAGGTTCCAAAGTTAAAAATAATCGTTTCAGCTTTATGGTCTTGAGCGCTCAATCCTTACATAAGCCGGTCGCATAACAGGCATGTAATACACAAAAGCTCAAAATCAATCAAACAATCCGCTTTAGATTAGTGTAAATTACTCACAAATACCAAATTTTAGTGCTATTGCTCTATTTTCCTCTGGTGGATGTTAATCAGCATGACTGTCTAGAATATTTAGGATTGGATAGTCCTCAATTTCAAAGGTCGTCGAGACACGAACTTCACCTTTCACCTTGGGCGACCTTCTTGAAGGTATTGACAAAAGAAAATGCCTGTCGCTGGATGTCCGAACAAACTAGTGCTTACTATTTGTACGCTAGTTGAGTGCCGATAGTATGCCTATAACTGACTTATAAACATGCTTTTCTTTTTTTTTTAGTGTTTTACTCGCGCATGCACCATTTGTGTTTAGATGGACGAGAAGTAAAGACGAGACGTGAGCTGGAATATAGAGGAGATGAAACTAATTACTATCCCTTTTATAGTTGTATATATGCCTATTATTTGTACCTGTTAAAATTATGTTAATTAATACTGCTGGATTAAACTTAGGTATTTAACTAAAACCAATTTTCTGATTTGGGGTAAATCTAGCCTGTAACAACATAAAGTATTATTTTAAAGTGAAATGAAAAATGAAAATATGAGAATGAAAATATTAATTATTATTCACGTCCAAAACGTTTTCAATGTTTCAACTGTAAATGTTGATTTTGTACAGCAGCCAAAGTATGCGAAAAATATATGTTATCTAAATTAATTTTATTTGTACTTATAAAACGATTATTAGTCAAGATAATGTTTAATTTACTTTTTAAATCTAATTCTGTTTCAATACAACGAAACACATTTTTATTTTTATTTGTTTCGCAAATATGCATTGAGGAACGAAAGGTTGCTGTTACGCAGAGTCTGTTAATCATGAGTTTAGACAAGGAAAGGAAGTCTATTTCAAACACAGCCGTGGGCATCTTTGGCAATAGTGTGTTAACTTTTTTGGATAAATGAAACAGTCGTCAAAGTCTAGAAGAATTTCAAATGTCTCTTTTATCAGACAGAAAATTACACTAAAGGGCAGAAGGAGAATAGAAAACTAGTATAGTAGTAGTACTAAGTAGTATATAGAAAGTACCTAATTTCGAAAAATTGTCTTTTGTACGGGATCCAAAAAAAAAGAAATTATGGTTATATTAAATAATGGACCACAATTAGTAAGGTCGCTTCATTTTCCTTCCTTGCTATGTAAATAACTATTATTTTTGTATGATCGAAATTAGAAAAAAAGCGAAATTAAAAACCTGTTTTTTTTTAAGATTGCTTTATTTCAAATATCCGAGATTTAATAATTAGTGAAGAAGTCGAGATGATTCTTCTTGTACATCTTCAACATTTCTGATTCTTGCCTTTTTGGAACCTAAGAAAACGCCCCCAAAGCATACATTCTTTACTTCTGTACGACATACTCATCTTCTTACTACAATTACCTTAGACTTATAAAGATGTTTTGATTCTATCCTGTAGCCACACTTCGAATATTAATTTGGTAAGTAAATATCATTATATGCCACCAAATGCAACTGGCGTTAAAAAAATAAAAAAAATTATGTTTTACACCTAGTATAACAAATATAACTCCTTTTTCTCCACATGTACCGCATATATCTTGATCGGCAGTACTAATCTAATTGACATTTATAATTACGTACAGCAGATAAACTAAAATTTTTAAAAGTTGCATAATAATTTTAATTGCTTAATATCGCTGACTGATAACAGTTTATTACTTTTAAAAAATATGTTTCCTGCGAAACGAGAATAAGGTGTCACTGATAGAGCAGCAGTGCTGTAGCCGTTGCTAGGAGACGCTTATACCACTTACATAAACTTATAATTATCTACACAAGTACTACCACTCGTCACACATTTTTATCTTACCCAATGAACAAAATATTACATTTTCATCTAGTTTTCGTTGAACAATTGAATAAGCTGGTGAACTTTCGTCCTGCAAGGTGAGAAATACCTAATAATTCAGAATAAAGTTTTAAATTCGCTTCCATTTTGTGCTTGTCAGTAATAGTTAGTTCATGTAAATTTAAATAAACATTTTGGTTATATTTTTCTTACACAAAAATATTTTTGTTCATAAAATTGTCACCTTCAATAAATTTTTTTTCGCTTCAAATATATTCGAGGTGTGATGATTTGAAATTAGTACCAGGTATAAAGTATTTTAAAATTTAATTTCCACTTTATCGCTTCAATATTATCAATCATTTTGTAGTGTTTTTTTTTCCATTCTATGATATTTTAAAGGCTTGAAAAGCACACCTAATATTTAACAAATTTTACACCAGCCATCGATTCACAAAAAGGGTGGTTAAATTTAACTACTAGATAAAAACAATACCTATGTCTGGATGCATTTTTTTGTATTTGAGAACTATTCATTGTCAATCTAAAGGGTTTCGGGATATATCTGCTATGTTGTGATTCAAGCTCAATTAACGTTTTTGTTTTAGCAACAATGAAGGGTATACATCTTCTAGCCGTCGCAATAATTTATCTTCAATTCCGAACGTAAGTATTTTATATATACTCTTAAATCTTACTTGCTGCTATTACTTACAGAGACATGTGCACTCCTTGCAGTCTACCTAAAATTAAATTTAGTTAATCAATATTAAAAGAATTTGTCGCAAACGAAACTACATGTTGGTAGATAGCGGTTTAGGAGATATTATTTCAAAGGTTTTCTATTCGAAGCATTGATTAATGATTAGCATCGTGCACAAGGAATTTTCATCTAATGTACGAAGTATAAAAGATTTAAATCCAATAACATTTTGTTTTTCTTTACACCTGTAGATTATCTTACCACACAAGATTTTCATAACTTTTAGGGGTTTTGGATTATCAAACTACACATTCCCGGCTGGTTTTAAATTTGGCGCAGCAACAGCAGCATACATGGTCGAAGGTGCTTGGAATGAAGATGGAAAAGGAGCTAGCTTATGGGACAATATCACTCATGCATTCCCAAGTGTCATTTCAGATGGAAAAAATGGAGACGTAGCATGCGATTCCTATCACCGATACCCTGAAGATGTCCAACTGGCTGCCGATCTTGGACATGATATTTACAAGTTTGGCATATCCTGGCCAAGGATTCTCCCCCAAGGTGCAATTTAGGGTTGTGTTGCGGGTTTTCACGTCACAATAGCCTATTTAGAAGGTAATCGAGCAATTTATCTTTATTATACAGGTACTATCGACAATATAAACCAGAAAGGAATAGACTATTACAATGATCTGATCGACCTGATCATAAGCAAAGGATTGGAACCTCAAGTTGTAATATTCAACTTTGATATACCGTGGGAACTAGAGAAGTTCGGAGGATTCACCAACGAGTCCACTGTACAACATTACTCCGACTATGCCGATTTGCTTTTCAAAACTTTCGGAGACCGCGTTAAAATCTGGATTACCGCCAATGAAGGTCACGCCTATTGTAAAGTCATAGTGGACGATATTCTAGCCCGAGTTATTACTCAAAATCTCGGAGTTAAGGAGTACCAATGCGCACATAATTTAATTAAAGCACACGCCGCGGCGTATCGCAATTACGAAGAAAACTACAAACCCACACAGCAAGGTTAAACTGAGAATAGTTACGTTATTTTCAAATCACTATCACTTTTAAGTTTTTCAGGTAAGGTGGGCATGGCTTTCAGTATGTTTTATCACGTCCCCGCAACAAATTCTGAGGCAGACCAACAAGCTGCTGCTCGAGGTAATGCGTTTGTGGTAAGTACAAGATACGAGTGCATTAATAGTTGCCTATTCGGAAGCTTTATGATCTTTGTCAACCAATTGATGGTACCAAGTTTAAAAAAAAACTAAATAATGCTTAATGCATTTGGTACGCTATACTTATATAACTCTGATATCTTGAGGAGATTTCATATAATCTCTAATGTTCCACCACATCATGGTAGGCAGACTGTTCCTCGTTGGCAAAATGGAATCTTCAAATTTATCAATCAAAACTGTTATTCTCAAACAAAGTCAATACCTACGGGATTCGAACAATGTGATACATCATTTTAATAAGATTTCAGTAAATTACCCCGCAAGCAGTTCTTGACCTCGCTGCTTTTAATAACTTTGCAGTCATCTATTATTGCATTAATCACATATATTTAGTATTTTGTGTATTCTGATATCGCCAGAGAAAGTATTTTAATAAAATTTGAAGTTTGGTAGCGCTAAATAGGCGAAAGCTTCGACGAATTCTATCTCTAGAATTAACCAAACCAAAAGAATATTTATATTACTTGTTTTAGTTTGAGTGGTTCGCACATCCGATAGTAAAAGGAAATTACCCTCAAATATTCATCGATCAAATTGGTAACTTAAGTCAACAAGAAGGAAGAAATGTGTCAAGATTACCTCAGTTTACTGCCGCAGAGATCGAGAATATTAAAGGAACTTACGATTTCATTGGGATTAATCCACTATTTACGTTTTTCGCAAGTGATCTGAGTGGCCAAAATCTATCTATCAATTTTCAAAATGATATGAGAGTCAACGAAACCAGAAATTCCTCTCTAGACTTCTCATCAGTATATGTGGTAAAGACAATTACTCATCTTTAGACTAACTGAAACTGAATAGATGTCATTGTAGTCTTCACCAAAAACCTTTAGAGATTCTATAGTTTACACTAGCAACTTCTGCAATGGCTGCGAGATTTTCCTTACGGAACACGGCTTTGGTACTCGAAACGACAGTCTAAATGATACAGCGAGGATGCAATTTATGCAGGTGAGTTTCTACTACCGACTTCAATTTACTTCTGATTCGTAGGTAAACGTCTGCTAGTTTTATCCACTGTAACCTAGTAGGCGGTTGTTGTCGTTTCAATACTATGAATAAATTCTCGTATTCTCGCATTTGAATGTAACACCAATTTCATTAAATTTTCAGACTTACTTGGATCAGCTACTGATCACGATTCACGAAGATGGGGTTAATGTTACCGTGTATGCCATGTGGCACTTTATGGATAGTTTCTATTTCAATAACGGATTAACGTAAGTGGCTATTTGCATCTAACTTAAATATACTCTGATTTAATGTCAAATTATCGTTTTAGGCTGAAATTTGGATTAATTCAAATAGACTTTTCGTCAAGCAATCTTACAAGAACACCCAAACGGTCATCACAGTACTATAAGAATATCATCGAGACGAGAAGTTTAACCGAATTTCAGTTTTAACGGGAAAAATGCTCGAATTCGTCAGCGACCTCAAATACTTTGAATTCAATATTCAATATATCTTGGGTTAGTGACTTTTAGCTAACCACGGTCTGTAAATGTTAGTTGTACGTCCAAATAAAACGAAAGATTTTAACCCAACATCTGTTCCATAATCTTCCTTTAGCTTTTTATTTTCGACTCCATCTTCCATGTCGATCTTTTTGAAGAAATAATTACCGAAATCTAAAAAAAGAACTCTGACAAATAAGTCGTTGGAATGTTACACTCTATGAAAAAATATTTGTTTACTTGGATACCAAACCTGATTTTTGAAGCACTATTTGGTTGATCTCAAGAGGCCTTGTTCTACCTCCATAGACCACTTGGAAATGTCATTCGTGGAATTAGAGAAAACTATTAAAATTTATTTAAAATAGTATCTGTATTTTTTTTATTTTCTTTAAAGAAATAGTTATTATTATTAGATAATATACAGGTACGGTACGCGCATGGCCTCTACATCTCACCCACTAACCTGCACTTTGCGCCATTCGCTTCTAAACAGCGCTTTTCACACACCTAACTCGTTTTCCCAAAACATTTCACGAGATCTAGGCATATTTCGAGAAAATACTGCCGTATTTTGATCGCCGCATGCAGCAAGGTCATTGCTTAAACGCGAGATTTCAAATCTCGCACATGCGTATGTTGAATAGACCTTCCCAATCTTTCTTTTCATAGTTGCTTCATAAGTTCGTGTATTATCGATATAGGTACTCTACAACTCTAGTATATATGTTATATATTAATACAACATAATCGGTTTTCGTGGTTGGGACTAAACAAGATTAATCTTCAGTAAATAAACGATATCTGAAGAACCCTGACAAACAAGTCTTTGAAAGGTTACACAACGCCAGCAAATATTTGTTTGATTTAATGCTCATCCACACACGACTTGGAAACGCTTTTTGTGGAATTAAAAAAGCTACTAAAATATCTTTAAAATATTCCTGCATTGTCTTATTGTTCTATATCTACTTTTTGTTGATTTTTACAAGGAAATTATTATGTTTTCACCTTATGCGAAAAACTGATTAGAATAGTTGATCTGGAAGTTTTTCTAAACAATGCTGATGGTTCGGGGAATCCTAATAAGAACGAAAAGGTTGCCGAGGATACTGCATAGGCACCGGTTCTCAAAGGTCATATCTTTTGAAATCTACTATTACGCAGTTAGAATATACCCCTAAAAGAGAGGAATTGATTTCACATGGGCTCTTCGGTGGCGTTGTTACTCCGGTGTCGCACAAATGTTATGATAACCGACTTCGGCACGAGAATTATGAATTCAAATTTGAGGTGCTAGATCAAGATCAGGTTATTTATCCCAATGTTCGAGCTGTAGGTTGTGGACCTCGGACGACGAGTTAAATGAGCTAAATATACAGGTATATGATTCCGAAGATTCTTCACCCATTGAGTTGATGATTGGCGCCGATGTAGTGGGAAAACTTTAGACAGGCAACCGTCGTAGTTTAAAATGTGGTTTAGTTGCCGTTGAAACACTATTAGGCTGGACACTTATAGGGACAGTTTCCAATATTGGGAAGATAAAGAAAGACGTCAGTTCTGCAGTGACTACCTTGTCAATGTTGTTGAGTGATAGTGTTGTGACTTTTGTAACCAAATTTTGGGAACTTGATACACTAGATATTACTGAGCCATCGGGAAAAAAATCGAGGCAAGAAACGACTGCCACAGTAATAGAATTCTTTGAGAAAACGGTAACACAGTACGTTGAAGGTCCATTCGAAGTGCGTCTTCTATGGATAGAGGGTTGCCGTCCTTTGCCTTCAAATTTGAAGATTGCCAAAAAGAAGGTTACAATCAATCTTGAGGAAATTAACCAAAGGTAAGCTTGTGGAATCCTATAGTGCTGTTGTCCAGGATTGATTGTCCCAAGGTGTCATCGAACTAGTGAATAATGAATTTCGTCGGTTATTAAAAGGATTCTGCGACAACAAGAATCCGTCCGGTATTAGACGCATCACCGAGGGAAAGTGACGCCTCTTCCCTAAATAATTGGAATAATCGAATATTAGGAAAGCGTCTCTCCAGATAAGCATTCAAGAAAAATATCGTGATTTTCTAACGGTTTTTTGGATCAACTCCAAATCTTATTGTGTATCGTCACAGACGAGTCGTCTTCGGAGTAAACAGTAGTTCCTTTTTGTTGGGGACAACCATTGAACATCATCTTGCAGATTGTTTAAGAAAAGCCAAGAGCGGATATACTAAGTATTCTACTTGAAAGGGCTTTCTACAATATAAAAGAATATCTCGAGTTTGGTTTTGGAAATATGAATTTTGGGTTGGTGTTTGTGGTTGGGATTGACATATTGTTATTTAAATTTTGTAAACTTCGTTTTTATTATTTTTTTGTACATACTTGTGCTTTTTACTTTTGATTAGTTCTATTTGCCTATTCATCAGTATTATAATATGTGATGCATAGACTGTGATATCTTTAGATATCTTATACTTTATAGTTGACGTATGAAAACAATTGTTTCGACAAGGAGCACTAAAAATGTTTATTGGTCATTCGTCATTAATCACTGGTCATGAAAATGTACTAATAAATAAGCGAGTTGAAGTTTTTAATCAATCGCTTTTGATAAACATTTTTGTGCTTTTTGAAGTCGAATTCGATTTGATTTGTTTTATAGATATTTCTTTAGTTGCAATCAGAACGTTGGACTTTCTTGATTGCTTAGTAATTATAGCTCTTGCTTTTGACATTTTTATTCCAATACTTGAGTATTTATTTCCTATTGGAATCTTCAACTAAAAACAAAACAACATCAATATCAAAAATTGGTCCCATTATTTTAAAATATCAACGGTAACCTTGCATCGTAAATCCAAATTTGTCAAAAAATAAAGTTCAGTCATTTCAGTCGGTCCACTCAGTTCAGTTGGTTCAGTTAGTTCAGTCAGTTCAATCCGTCGCCATTGGACAGAGTTCGCAATGCCTGTGTTCGAAGTAATTGGAGTCGATAGGGCTGGGCCGTTATATCAAAAGTATAGTCCCAAAGTTTGGATTTGTATTTTTACGTGTGTTTTGTGTATTGAGCGGTCCACCTCGAGCTCGTACAATCTATGACCACGCATTCTTTCATTCAAGCTTTGCGAATGTTTACAGCTAGAAGAGAATATGCTAAAACAATATACAACGACAATTTGACCAACTTTGTAGGCGCCGGCGACCATATTTGCGAAAGTCGGTGCTATTTTTAGTTTTTAATAAGGGTTTTGTTTTTTGCTGCCGATTTGTTCGGAGGGAACTTTGGCGTCGTTTTCGATATGTTTTAACAAGTAGTCGTGCATTTAATTTTGTTGAGGCGCGACGTGTTGCATTTTGTTTGGCGTATTATTTGTGTTTTCACTAATGTAGTCTTTATGAAATAAATACCACTTGTTTTTAATACATTTAATCGTTCGATCTAACCATTACATGCGCGCCGAAGAGTTGTGCTGTTACATGTAAAGCTTTTTAATAACTGAAAGACCCAAACCTAACTTTATTCTTTCGTGGGCCTGTAAAAGTAATATAAAACTAATAGTGTTTATAATATGGGAACTCGGGGTTGAGTCGCCGATAAAGGACGCCGACGGTATCGTTCTGTGCGAATGACGCGACGGCACGTCGCTAAGATGATAAAAATGTGCCGACGGCACTCGACCATCCTAACCATACGATCGCCTTCGAGCGTACCATCACCCATGATATACAAACTGAAAATACTAGTTCATGGCAATTGTACACCTATCAATTGCACATGTGCAGCAGATATGCCACTCAAACGACACCATTGCCCAAAAGTTTAAGGTCTCTTAAATTTGTCACATAGATATGTGTACATCTACTACGTAACAATCGAATCAAAATTCGAACCTTTGTAACTTAAATTTGAATAAGAAATTGAAAACTTAAAATTTATGTGCGTCAGATACGTCACAACTGAATCAGAAATTCAAAACTTAAATTTGTGTACTTCAGATACGTCACAAGTGAATCAGAAATTCAAAACTTAAATCTTTGTACGTCAGATACGTCACTAATGAATCAGTAATTCAAAACTCCAATATTACATACATGCATCAGATACCCTTACCTAAATCTTTTGAAATTTAAACAATTTCCTGTGTTCACTGGCTACTACAGCTTCGTACCACGTCGTGTAGTCCTAGTAAAATGGATGTCTTCTTTGACCCTGTATCATCTTTTTTTCTTAAATCGCTCCTTTTGTTTGATTCTGCTGTCTTCAAGCTTTTTAGCCGCCTCTCTTCTTAATGAAGAAACGTCTATGGTGCTTACTTCATTATTACTGACATATTTGTCATCATCTGTTCTTATTTGTAGCCGAAAAACAATTCACTAGGTGTTGTTTGCGTTATTCGATATTTCGTGCTGTTAATGCCTTGTTATATATTCTTAAAATTTGCGTCCCACATATCGCTATCTAATTTGGCACCCATTGTTGCCAACGAGTCTAGCACTGTCTTGATGTACCTGGTACTGCTGTTAAAAAGACGAATTTTGTAAAAACATCTATTATTACGAATAAATATGTATTTCCACATTTTGTCTTAAAAAATGGTCAAAGATGATCTGCATGGAATGTGTGATAAGGTCGTACATATTTGGGTATTGAGTGAAGGTATTCTGGCTTTTTACCACCCGGTTGTTTGTGGTATAAACAGTGAATGCACGCTGCGATATATTTTTTTTTGCGCATCTTTGGAAACCAATATATTTTATTTATACGCTCAAGCGTTTTATCAAAAGCGAAGTTTCCAATATCATCGTCGTTTCCTTTCATTATTTGCATCTACACATTTTTGAACATACCATATTCTTTATTCCCTCGTAGGTCATATTGCGTTTACAATATTTTTATTTTCATTGTCTCCTGACAAAAGAATATCCTTAAATTCTTCAAAAATTGCTGAAACGTTTTAGACCTCCGGTTCAGTATCTTGTGTATTTTCACTTTTAAAATTTCTGCCAAGCGCGTCTACGCGCTGTAATTGTGTCCCTGATTTATATAAAACTTTAAACGAGAAATCTTGTAAATATAAAACTCAATCCTTGGAACTATACTCTGCTTTGAAAATGCATATTTGATATTGCTTGATAAATTGAAAATTTATCGTTGCACGAATAGGTATTTGCATTATGTTCAATGACTTATATCCACGGATTAATTTGAGCGTTTATTGGATCGAACTCTCGTACAAAAGTTAAAATTGTAAGAGGGGTAATCAGAATAATAAAATTTTAAGTTGAAAATATATAATACATATATTTATATATTTTTAATAAATAATTATTAAGTTCTTTGGGTCTAAACGAACGGTGATTAGGCCATCAGCGAAGTAACAAGGTTCGCATCTGAAACTAAAAAAATATCCTGAGTACCAAAGATTATTAACATTAATAAAACAAACTTAATATTACTCAATATCACCAGAAATCACAGACAACATGCATAAAATCTGGAACTGAGTTCAATCACTAATGCTTTTTATTTCGGTCGTGCAATGGATACTAAGCCCAGAGACACGCGAAGTATCCTGACGCAAATAACCACACCGGCACTGAAGGGCAGAGACACGCGACAGTGCAATAAACAACAGGCCATAATATAATGAAGGGCAGAACACACATCAGTATGTTGGTACTAAGGACAGAGACACGCATAGTACCTCTTTCAATCTCTAGTGCTGGTTAGTCCGATCGTGCAATGGATACTAAGGGCAGAGACACGCGAAGTATCCTGTCGCAAATAATCACACCGGCACTGAAGGTCAGGCCATAATATTCTGAAGGGCAGAGACACTCGGCAGTAGCACCGACTTTCAACCAACAAAGTAACAACGTTTAAAATAGTTCAAAGAGAGAACACACTAATATTTAATCAAATTCCTTGGGTATATTTTATAAATTAAAAATGACACCGATCAATAAATAAATCATTTGGTACTTTGGTATTTTGGTATACAACGAAACCATCATGAAATTTAAATACTGTACTCGCGAGAACACTCACCTTTAGGTCTTCGCAGTTTCACGGAATGCAAGATATTTCTTAAAATGTTAATGCACCCCAAAACTATGTTTATTGTAAATGACGGCCCTTCTATTTATCGATATTCTGACAGACCGAGGGGCGAGAAATGCGGTTTTTTAGAAAAGATCTGACTCACAAGTGGTTGCTTACTGCGTCGTACGTACAAAAATTTTATAATGTAGCTTAAAAAAAAATATGCGTCTTTCTATCACATAATTTACAAAATTTCAATGTTCTTCGAAAAGTTATTGCAGTGACTGGAAACAGACGAGGATACAGGCGGGTACAGATGGGTACTCACCGCTTTCAATCCACTAGTTACACTTCGCGATCGGTATCTTTTACTACTTTTTTTTAGGCATATTTAATTGCCCGCAGGCTATGACAAAAATACTAAAAAGTATAAGCTCGCTCGAGAGTCCACCACTTCTGATGTAGTCTTTATGAAATAAATACTACTTGTTTTAAATACATTTAGTAGTTCGATCTAAACATTACATGCACCGCGAAGAGTTGTGCTGTTACATTCAAAGCTTTTTAATAACTGAAAGACTCAAGCCTAACTGTATCCTTTCGTGGGGCACTAAAAGTAATATACAACTAATAGTGTTTATAATACGGGAACTTGGGGTTGAGTCGCCGATAAAGCATGCCGACGGTATCGTTCTGTGCGAATGACGCGACGGCACGTCGCCAAGATGATGAAAGGGTGCTGATGGCACTAATATAGTCATTATAGGAAGTTAATTTGTATTATTATCCGAACCTAGTTACGAGGATAAGACCGGTAGATTTTTCGGAAGCGTGACGCAACAATGGCAGATCAAACTTGCCTGAATTTGAAATGTTTCCTCTACTAGCGCTGCCGTCATTGGTATTACTAAAGAAATCTAATTCTGTGAACAAGTTATTGGGATAATTGAAATGAATACGTGACAAAACTTATTTCTTAGGTAAACTCTTAAAAAATATCCATAAATCAATGTCAATTAAATCGAGTATTATCACTTTTCATTTCTTTGTAAGTAGAGCTTTGTAGTCCTTAGCGACAAGATTCTTATTTTGTTATCAGTCTAAAGTTCAAGATGAAATATTGTTTTTTTTCCAATTACAACGGCAGTTCCTATCGTTTAATCTTTATTAAAATTTAACATCTTATTGAAAAATGTAATTCATACGGCGTTGGCGTAACGTGATTGACGTAGGATTCAAAGCTTAGAACAAATTTGAAAGGTGCTTATTAGCTTGACCCACAACACAATAGTATATTATGATAAATGACGTGCGTTTGTTTTCGCTAAGGTTCAATAAATGAGTACCTCAAGAAGTTTATAAATGTAACGTTATTATCAGAACCAACAACTTCAAAATATCACTTTTTAAAATCTCCGAATAAAATTCGATCCGACAGCTAATGTCTTAAAGTGATACTTTGCCCTTTCCTGATTAGTGTACATAATTTTATATTTTAAAGCAGGAATTAGAACAATACAATATCCATTCGTACATAAATAGACCATTAAATTAAAAATTTTAAACATGCATATCAGAAACTCAAGTAATGTTCTTTCACACTGGAAAAAAATTGTCCTTATCTTTATACAAGAAAGTGATAAAAAAACTTTATTTTTGATATACAAATGACATACAATATATTTTGATATACAATGTCAAAACCATTTTTTCTTCTTTTTAGACGTTTTAAGCAACAATTATTTCTTATACCTATTCTTATGCACCATTACTTACCGGTGTGAAGTTAGCAGCTAAAAGTTGGCAGCCAAAATTAAGGAAAGAGCCGAACAATCAATGGCGGCGGAGATTTGTAAACCAGTCTAGGAAGCAACTGATTTAAATTAAATAGATCTCTCGCTATCGCTTCCAGAGAAAATATTCGGTTGCAGTCCCGTACAAGGGTTGCTATAGGGTGAAAGTAAAAAGCTATAATCTAATTTAATCCAAATTTACACACCTTTGTTTCTGAGATGAAAAAATGTTCACAAAGCTTAGATCTCCTTTCCAGTAAAAATATTTTCTTGCACTCCCGGACGGGAGTTGCTATAGGGTGCAACAAAAAAGTTTTAAATGTTTTTTTTTCAATTTAATCGAAATTTACACATTTTCATTTCTTGATGAAAATGTGCGCGCAAAGGTTGGATTTCGTTTCTAGAAAAATTATTCTCTTGCACTACCGTACGAGAGTTGCTATAGGGTGAAACAAAAAGTTTAAAATATTTTTTTTCTACTTTAATCAAAATTTACACACTTTCATTTCTTGGCGAAAATGTGTACACAAAGGTTAGCTTTCGTTTCCAGTAAAAATATTCTCTTGCACCCGCGTACGGGAGTAGGGGTGGTTACTTGGATATATGACAATAACAAAAAAAACAAAAGCAATTCAGACATTAAAATTTTGATGCCAGAATATCGAAAATTTAACAACCTATTTGGGTACATTTTTAGAAATAACTTGATAATGTTGAAGTGGCACTTCAACCGAAATTTAGGAAAATGTACCCACTCTAATCTGGTAAACGTGACACATTGAAATAATTAACACACACGTTACTCAGTCTACATGATATGCGAAACAATGAAATTGTTGCAATCAAATTATGTAACTTTTTATCTTCTTACCATAAACCGTTGCTTTATCTCGATGATTCTGAAAGGGTTAAAAAACCCAGAGAACGATCTCTCAATGGATGAGTTCGTAATATCAAAATAAAATGGAAATTTTGTTTGTTTTGTGAATACTGCGGCATTCTGGCATATACGGTGTTTCCCAAAAGCACAGAAACTCTTGAGTCCTTCAGCAACCGCTTGATAAACATGTGAAAATTAGTACATGAAAAAATTATATCTGTGTATTTTACAGTTTTTCTTAGGGCAACCTTTACTTTATTTTCTGTAACGGTATCAAATTTTAATGCCCTGCATTTTGCAAACCCTGAAAATTAACATTCGGTTGCAAATATCACAAATTTTTATTATTTCGAGAAATAAGCGATAGGTAGGTAATTTTCCTGTGTGAAAGTAATATTCAATACGAAAAGTAAAAACATTTGGGGCCCTTTAGTTTGGCTATTCTACTTCTAACGGATAAACCAGTTTTTTCTAGTATCAAGTAGTATGGCAAGTAAATAAATAACGTATTCTGTAATACAGAATGCCTAATTTTGACGGCTCAGCCACAAAATAAGTCATTTTTACATGAATTCCCATAAGGAAATCATCGTAGTTAAAAACTCATTTCTTCCTAACACCTGTCAACCGCCCCCTTTAGCCAACTTTTTCGCTTTCCTATCACACTCACCGCTTCCGAACCTCTCCCCAACCATAGATCCTCTCAATAACCTACGGAACAGGTCAAGAACAGCTCCAACACAAGTTCGGAACAGGTCTCAATCAGGTTCGAACAGATTTCGATCAGGTTCGGGCCTGTTCTTTGTGTAGTGCAAAAATGAAATTTGAACTGTGACTAGCTCGGATCATAGTTGTGAAGGGAGAAGCGTTAGTTTGGGGAAAAGAGATGAGGCTTATGAGCTGATGATCACCGGGTGACGGGCACTTAGGTAGTCTTACGGAAATTTACATGTAGAAATGTAATTTACGCCTGAACTGAAGAACCATTATACCTATACAAAATTCCATTTAATCATTAAGGTGATTGCCCGAGATAATATCAAGATTGTTTGTAATATTTTCGGAAAAATCAAGGAAAAACATGTTTCGAAGTATATTGTTCAATAAAAAGTATTATCGTGATAAAATGTTAAGTAGGAAAACTAATGTTTTAACAGTGACAGTTTTTGGTTAAACAAATATGTTGTTAAGAAACGAGATTTTTTAAAATCATTTTGACCGACTATTTATGAGTGGCTTGGAGCACTTCACTAATCAAATGTTCTTTATCTCACGAAATTTTTATCGCACTAAACTATACAATAAAAGGTCCAAAAAATAACATTATTTCACAGTCTTCACTGGCAAATCGATTAAGTCGAAGAATTGTTCTTGCAAGGTAAGACACAACTTAGTTAGATTTCAGTATAAATTTATGACATTTTTGGGGGGCGAAAACAGCTCGTTATTTATTTATTATTATTTATTTATCCCACTCGTCCGGCAATTGGCCACAACAGCGAAGCGGATAAGTAAAAAAAAAACTTTGTTCAACATGATAAAATATAACAATGATAAAATATAACTTTTCTCAAAATATAAAATATTTTTTGTTAAAACGTATACATATTAGTTTTGATTTCATAATTGAGTGACAACCCTGTACTCGGAGTACGCAACCATTCCTTTGCTTGTACTTACTTGAAATTTTAAGTAAAAGTTTTCTTCATTTTCCCAGGTCAATTTTACTAAAAATAGATTTCTTTTTTAAGATAAATCCGAGGCATGCTATACCTCATAGTTAATAAAATGTTCCAAGGTGACATATTTTGCGAACAAAGCATACAGCTGTAATTTTTTTAATATATGTGTCCTCTACGTATACAGGTACAATATATTGAAATATATTTAAACTCACAAAATTTTCAAAGTTGCTAGAAAGTAAATACAGGCAATCCAAAAACTAAATTTTTGACAAGAGTTACACATCTTCAAAATGGGGAAATTTATGAATGAAGAGGCGTAATATCTAAAACGTGAAAACATTACATATCGAAGTTTGTTTCTTACCCTTTCTTACCTTGTTTAGGTGCCAGTATTCTCCCAAATAAAAAGACTGAGGCAAACAAAGAAAAGCATAATTTTGTATTGAAGCAAGGAAAAGGAATTTCACACCAGTTTACATCATGGAAAAATGTACTCGTACATATATGACTTTGGTACCGGTACCCTTGCCAACTTTTACATTACAAATAAAAACGTAAATTTATTCCAAAAATTTCCCAAAAGTTGCGAACTGACGAAAACTAACCCAGAACTTATCGACTATAAGTTGGAATAAGGAAAGAAGAATTTTCCTTTTCCACTGATTTTTATTCATAGAACAGTAATAGTACTTATAGCGGTTAACTAAATACAACAAATTAGATATTAAGATCTTAAAAGGATATTCATGTTGTTTTCATTTTTACCTATAAATTCTAAATACCAGATTTATTATATTTGTTGTTAAATCGGCTTTGAGTGTCATATCCGATTATTATTTAAAATTGTAATTAAGTACTGTATAATTTATAAAAAAAACACCCTAACAATACATAAACAAGACAGCAACTCTGTTTTATAACATAAAATTTACAATATATAGAGAAAAAAAATATCCGCAATTAAAATAAAAGCAAAAATAATTGGCTCAAGAATTTAATAGAAGAAATTGCCAATCGAATGCAAAGGCCATCGAACATGAATATGAAACATTCGATATTCATTGTTTCGATGTTTTGATTTCTCACTCGAGTTTAAGTCTAAGAGGGTCTCCTTTTATTTATTGGTAATTGACTAACACAACCAGCTAAATTTACGTGATTTTTTTTCAGGAACAATGAAGGTTGCACAGGTTCTAGCGGTAGCATTAATATGTCTTCATTTCCGAATGTAAGTATCTGAAATTTTATACTTGATTATACTTGGATTTGGAGTCAATTATTTGTAGCAACACTAATATTAAATTGTTAACGGAATCGTGTCTTATATGCGTCCTGTTCGATAAAGGCACGGTGTTGTCGAAACAGCTATCAAAGAGTAATAAATAACTGTGAAAATCTGAATATTTTTTGTTCTAATTTAATTGTGTTAAATGGATTTTCATCAAGTAAAAGCCAACTCGTTTCAATTCGATACAGCTTCTTCCAAACGTACTATACGAGAGAAGTTTTTCTTTTAAGAATTGCTTCGAATTCTATATAAGAAAAGAATAAAACAAGTGTCTCTACATCTTGTGATTATTTTAGATTGATCATAGAATCATAGATCGATTAACGCGATGAATGAAATGTTGGATTTACCTTTTTTTGCTGATAAATTATCAATGACATAAAGTTTATCAAACCGCTTACCGTTCATAATTTTCAGGGGTTTCGGATTATCGAACTACACCTTCCCATCTGGTTTTAAATTTGGAGCGGCTACCGCATCCTACACCGTCGAAGGTGCTTGGAACGAAGATGGAAAAGGAGCCAGCATATGGGACAATATTACTCACGCGTTCCCCAGCGTAATTGCGGATGGATTGAACGGAGATGTAGCAATCGATGAATATCACCGGTATACTGAAGATATTCCATTGTTTGCGGATATTGGGCTTGATTTCTACAAGTTCAGCTTTTCTTGGCCGAGGATTCTACCCCAAGGTAAATTTATGGTTTTATAGTTAGCTGATATTCTATCTAAGCTTCTGTTATATTCGCCCTCTTAGAAGGCAACCGAGTTAAATAAATTTCAACAACTAATTTGAGACTATTATTGTACAGGTACTATCGACAACATCAACCAGAAAGGATTAGACTACTATGACAACTTGATCAACCTGATCATAAGCCAAGGGTTAGAACCCCAAGCTGTGGCGTTCAACTTTGATATACCGTGGGAATTGGAAAAAGTGGGTGGATTTACTAACGACTCAACTGTGCAACACTTCGTCGACTACACCGATTTGCTCTTTAAAACTTTCGGAGACCGCGTTAAATTCTGGGTTACTGTAAACGAAGGTCACGCATTTTGCAAACTCATAGTCGACGACATTCTATCGCGAGTTATTACACAAAATCTGGGTTTCAAGGAATACCAATGCGCACACAATGTAATTAAGGCTCACGCCGCTGCATATCGCAACTACGAGCAAAACTACAAGGCTTCGCAACAAGGTTAATCTGAGTTACTGAGTTGCTTGGGAATTATTAAAAATTGTAAATTTTCCAGGCAAGGTGGGCATGGCGTATAGTATATATTGGTACCTCCCCGCATCAAATTCTCAAGCCGACCAAGATGCTGCTGTAAGAGCTAGGACATTTGTGGTAAGTGTAATATGTATTTGAATCATTTTGGTTAGCAAGGTTTAGTGTTGGGAATATGATAAACCAAATGTCACCTATTTGATGGCGTCGAAATTCTAGAGTGCTGCGACACAGACGTGAAAGCTAGAATTTTAATAAGCAGAACAAGCACTCACACAACGGCAATTTTCAGGGTCAAGTCTTAGACGATTGATCCAGGTTTACGTGGAAAATTTAGACACCTCCTATCAGCTCTAGCTCCGCATTTATTCTATTAAGTATTCTGGACAATAGTCAGTCATTTTTCCATTTTAGCACTGTTTTGTGTATATTTCTTATGCTCGGAATTGGCTGATGGATATTTGGACTTCTGCATCTGATTAATTTTGAATAAATTGCTCCGTCAGACTATATCAACATATTTTAGTACAATTTATGGCTTTTATATATAATTTTTGCATGACAGGACGAGAAGAAAATGAGAGACACCCTTTCAATTTAAAGAAAGGATGTTGCAACAACACCGCGAATAATGATGTCGCGTCGTCAACAAAGCCGAAACATTGTGGTTATCATATCCCCAAAATATAAAATGGTCAATTTGGATAAAAAAAAAAAATAACTGAAGGATGCCTTGGGGAGTTACCGTATACATTTCGAGCGAGTGGCGTTTTGGTGCTACTTTTCAAATAGTTATGCCACTCTTCAGCACCAATAACCTGATAGAGTTTTTCGAATATTATTGCTGTTGCATGTTATCTGAAATTTGTAGAAAAGAATCTGTGTGCTGGTTGCCGGGCAATCTTGTTCGACATTACATATTACATATCAGAACATAATTTGGAACAAAATTTTAATGCAACATATTTCAGTTCGAGTGGTTCGCACATCCGATACTAAAAGGAGACTACCCTCAAGTACTTATCGACCAAGTTGGTAACTTAAGTCAACAAGAAGGAAGAAATGTCTCAAGATTACCTCAGTTTACTGCAGCGGAAATCGCAAACATTAAAGGATCTTACGATTTCGTTGGGGTTAACGCATTCAGAACATTTTTCGCAACTGATCGCAGCAACCAAAACCTAACTCCTAGTCTTCAGAATGATATCAGGGTGACTGAAACCACAAATGCCTCCCTCGACTTATCTTCAGTTTATATTGTAAGTATAATTTTTTTTAAGAAACGGGAAACTAAAAATATATTATTACAGTCTTCACCACAAACATTTAGAGACTCCATAATTTTTGCAAGCGACTACTGCGACGGATGCGAAATTATCTTGACGGAGCATGGATTTAATACTAGAAATGAGACCCTAAACGATACGGCTCGTATAAACTTTATGCAGGTTAGTCCACTGTTTTCTATAACGTGAAATACATCTTTAATTTTTTTTTTAACTGGAGTGAATAGTAGTAGAATTCGTATGCTTAACAATCTTAAACATGGGAACAAATATTGTTTGATATCGTTGAAATTGAATATTAAAACATTCTTAGACACCACGGGTCAAATTTTGCCGGAGAATATTTTTACTTTTTTAAAATAAAAGTGTTAAATTTTATAGCCAACATGCCAATTAAAAAAGCTACTACATTGAGACAGAATTGAAAAAACGAAAAAGTCAGCCTTGTATGGAAATGTTCTAAAATAATGTTTTTCAGACTTACATGGACGAGGTATTGATTGCAATTAACGAAGATGACATCAACATCACCGCTTATACCATGTGGTCTGCTATTGATTTCTTTTATTTCAATTTCGGTGAAACGTAAGTCGCCTTTTAAATTCAACATTAATGTATTTGAATATCACATTCAATTTTCGGTTTAGGGCCAAGCTGGGATTAATTCATGTGGACTTTACATCAAGCAATCTCACAAGAACGCCTAAACGGTCATCAGAGTACTATAAGAACATCATCCAAACAAGAAGTTTAACCCAATTCCAGGTTTAATGGGAAAAAATCAGAAAAAATAATGCACCATTCAAAATTCAAAATAATGTCTTTATCATAAATAACATTCATATTGTGTAAACAAATCTAGTACAAACAGATCCAAATAAAATGAACGATTTTTACACCATATCTACAAAGGTTTAATCTTCTCCTTTCACTTCATTTCCGAAGCTTTTATTCAAATTTGCACATTAAATTAAGCTTAAAATCAAGGAGTGACAAAACATGATCTTATGTGGTAATGTAAATCATGCAAAGTGCGGTAAACGGCATTTGAGTCACGAGTTAATTTTGCACGAGCAGACCATAGCGGGCGAGTGTTTAATAAACGAGTGATTAAATTTTTTTATCAAATGTGTTGTATACTATACTTTTTCTACGTCCGTTAGTTTTTGAGTACATTTTTGCAAAACAACACGAGTACATTCACTGACATGACTGTCAGAATTGACAAACGTCAAAATTCAAACCGTGCGGTAATAACTCCTAAAACATCCGATTGTTTCCAAACCCGAGCGGTAATATCCGGACTCGGATCCGTCGGAAACAAACCTAACGCGTTAAAATGACACTTTACGCAGACTTTGTCGGTGTATAATTAGATATTTTACAGAAGCGAGTAAAAGAAAGATATACTTACAATCGACAAACAATCTTTAATCTTAGTTCATTTAAATTCGCTGAATGAAGTCTAACAATGTCAAAATTCAAGCTCTGGATAATATAATCCTATTGCTACCAAACCCGTGCGGTAATATCCCGGAAATGTCCGAAGTGGCTGGCAGCAGAATGTGATCAAACTGATGTCGTAAAATGACACTTTCCATACGCTCGATCCGTAAATGATTAGGCGTTTTAGAGAAGTGAGTACAAAAACTTAATTAATTCCCGCGAATTTGCATGACAACAATAGACAGTGATCCAAGTTCATTGCATTTTTTGAGAGGTTGAAATAAATTGAGTGAAATTATGGATTTAAACCCCGTTTGAAAGGAATTGAAGAAATTTGTGATTCGGCATGGACACCGAGAGAGAGAGGAGAAATTTTAAGTCAACTAACCAGTTATTGACTATTGCAATGGTTTTCCAACACACATTTTATAACGGGTTGCCAGCGCGCCTGGGGTCCCGCGTGTTGGTAATTATTAATAACTATAATTTTGGGCTCTCACCTCCACTTACTATCATATGAAATGCGCCATATAGCTAGGTGCTAGAGGGGGCTAGAATAATGTATGTGATTTTCTCACAAGCTAATTTTGTGTATTTTTTTGGACTTGTTCTATTATTATGGTTATTGTTTTTTTTATGTACTATTTACTTTTTATACTAAAAATTCATAACTAAATAATAACATATAAACAAAATAATAAAATAAAATGTATACTAAAATGTTATAAAATGTTATAACGTCCCTAAACTCTTTGAGTGTGCTAACCAATCAAAGCTAATTTCAGACGATTTAGTATACAATGTAGCACGCAATAATTAATGCGTTGTTGTATCTTACAACATTGCATTTCATTTAAGCTGTAAACTGATAACAATACATCTTACACATTTTTTTATCGTTGTATGCTACATTTATAACTTCACAACTTAAACACTCCGGTGTTACTATGCCATCTTTATTCAGTCACTCATTTGTTAAACCCCCGCCCCTCTGCGCTCCACTAGTTATGGCATGGTTTATTTAAGATGCTTTATATCAATAAGTACGACACTAACGAAAAAATGTTAGATACAAAAACATTTAATTTATAGTATTTTTATGTATACAGGGCGTTCCGTTCTACCAGGACAATAACCTACTTTATTATTTAAATGGAATAATGACATATCGGTGTAACGCTCTCAAGTTATTGTAAATTTTAGTTTGTTGTTAGAGAACGGAATATAAGTAAAAAGTGTAACATGAATGATTGAAAAAAAAATAGTGGTAGGAAAAAAGTGTCATCAAAATCGGAGCAAAAAAAGAGAAGTAATTCTTTAGGTTCATTTAAATTAAATCTATCACGAGAGAAAATAAATCGAGTAGTAGGAACGGACGACAAAAACGACAAAAAAAGGCAACAGATAAAATCAAGCATTGGAAAAGAGAACAAAAACTCTGAACATCCCAGTGGGAGTGGGTTTTTAACATTCCAGCCAACGAATTCCATTGCACGCTCACCAATTAAGGTCTCAAATAACACTAATTCGGATTTCAATGTTCAAGAAATTGATGACAAAACCGGGAAGAAGCACAGGTCGGACAATTCTACAGAAACAGACAGAACAAATAGTAAAATGCAAAAGGAAACTACAATGTCACGTACAAACGTAAGCTTAAGTGATGAAGTGATGAAGCCCGCTTCGGAAGCCTGTAAGTTAAACCAAATGATCAATGTGGTGTTAAAAGCTTTTGAATATGTTATAGGAATAGTCAAGAAATAGAACTAGTCAAAATATAAGGAGGTGCTCAACTATGGAAATACTAAAAACACTTACTAAAATGGGATATCGAATGGGTGCGTTTGAAAAAGAAAACCATCTCCTAAGGCACACATAAGTCAAACCCGAGGCCAAACCGCTACATCTCAAGTACACACTACTGCTCAAACATACGCATCTGCTGCCACAGAAAATATGGCTACAACCCAGAGAAATAACATTATTACGAAACCATGGACTACACCGCCCATGAGAAAATTGGAAACTATTGTGAGAATAAGTGATGTTACTGATCCTAAAGCTACTATTAGACAACTAAAAGAAACTAGAAAGGACAAGGCTGTACGAGAAGGGTTTAAAAATATAATCTCCCTTAAAAGTGGAGCAGTAATAGTGCAAAGTCATAATAAAACACAACAAGAGAAATTAAAAGTAGCCCTAGAAGATAAAAGTGATATTAAAAATTAAGGAAATAGGTACAACAGATCCCATGTTTATCTGACAGGAATTGAAAAAGATTATAAGGATGCAGAATTTATGAATGAACTATTTCGGCCCAGTCCAGAAGTTAATGCATTAAATGAAACTGGAAAAATTAAAATTATAGCGAAAAAACAAGTGCAGAAACCTTCTCAAGCACCCCCGACAACAGAAAAATGGTTCATAAAAAAAAGAAAGAATAAATTTCAACCTAGTTATAATTTATGCTCAAGAATATATATACTACTGGCTATGTGTTTTAAATTTTGTGGTTGTGGGCATGTGGCGAAGTATTGCCAGATGAAAAAATGCTGCCATAAATGTGGAGGCCAACATGAAGGGATAGAATGTGAACCACCGTAGTTGTCTTGCCCAAAATGGAATCGTATGGGCTACCAAGACGTAAAGTACTTGGCAAGAAGCAATAACTGCCCAGTTTATCTAAAGAAACTACAACGCACTAGGTCGCAAATTAACTATGATGAAATTTTTTAGAAATAAATGATAACATCATGAATCAGTGCAGTCAATTGGAAATTCAGTTGACCTGTTGGAGGATTTTCTCAAACTCAATTTAGATTGTAAAGTATTGAGTGTCTGAGAGCATTGGAAAACGCAAATACAACTTCAAAATTATGTTATAGAAAGATTCAGACAAATCACAAGTTTCTGCAGCTCGGTCATACAAAGTATAGTAAGACTAGATATAAACCAGCTTGCTGAAGAATACGTGTATCTGTGTATAACAGTGGTTGCAATGTATAGACCACCCGCAGGAGATGTTAAGGTTTTCTTACATAAACTAGAGTGCGTGTTAGATATCCTTACAAGTAAGTCAAATAATGTTATAGTTATTGCAGGAGCCTTTAACATGGATTTTAAGTAAAATAGCAGAATTCTGAGTGACTTTCAATGAACAACTCATTTAATGTGTTCCAGACCATATGTGAGTATACTCGCCTAACAGTTAACAGCAAAACATGCATAGACAATATATTAACAAATTTTGAAGGGGATTTTACTTCTGAAGTTCTAAATTCGTTCATATCTGATCATACTGCCCAGAAATTAGTTCCTAAAATTAAACACCAAAAGATTAGAAAAACGTAACTTTAACGAACGAAATAAAACCTTATTTAAAGAAACATTATTTGATATCAAGTGGGAAAATGTGTATACATTTGAAAAGCATCTGGTGTGTGATTAATGGTCGGCCTTCTCTCAAATATGTTATTAAAAAAATTTAATGATCGTTTTCCATTAATGAGAATTTCTGTACATAAGAAAAGAAAACCAAAAAAATGTATAACATTAAGCAGATGAGAGAATGTAAAAAAAAATTAATGAACACCAATGACTGTCGTTATAAAGAATTGTACTGTTTAAAAAAGAAAGAATAGGAAAATTTGCTAAAAGAACCCAAAAAAAGATATTATGTAAATCGACTAGAAAATACAGATAACAAATGGAAAAGTGCTTGGGCAATTGTTAATGAAATTAAAGGCAAATCTAATGGGAAAGAAATAAAAATATAATCTGATAAGCGTGTTTTAGCAAATAATTTTAACAATTTTTTAATAAACGCAGGGCATGATCTAATAGCACAACAACATACAATTTTTTTTAGGTAGGAGATATAGTTTAATCAGGGACACTGTGGACAATAAGGAACTATTTGAAATATTTAAAAAAAAACACAGTAGCAGGTTTGATGAAGTGTCCAATAACCTACTAAAATTTGTAATTGTTGCAATTGCTCAACCACTGATTTACATTTACAATTAATAATTCGTTAAGGTATGGGGTCTTACCAGAACAAGTAAAGCTTGCTGTAATCATACCAGTTTTTAAAAAAGGGGATGCAAGAAGATTAGAAAACTATCGGCTTATCAGTTTACTTTCAATATTCTCGAAAATATTTGTGTGTTACGTGGAAACATATTGTCGAATTTATGAATGAAAATAATTTATTCAGTGAATAATTTTAATTTTGTAACTTGTGTTCTAAATGACCAGCAGAGGGGCAACCTTTCTTGACCTGACAAAAGCATATGATACCCTAGACTACGATATTTTATTCAAGAAACTGTATCAATATGGTATCCGAGAGGTGACGCTAAATTGCTCCTGTCTCATTGGAAATTCCACAGGCAAGTGTCATTGGTTCTATTTTATTTGTAGTTTACATAATTAACATAACAGAATTACT